GATAATACAGCGGTTAGCATGTGGCTGAACCCAGCTCTATCCCTGGCCTCAGATGGTCCCCTGAGCATCATCAGGTGCAGCCTTGGTGATCCCAGCACCGCAGGACCAAAATAGCATGGCCTAGGGTCCTAGCAGTATATTGCCATCCTGGTTGCTTGAGTATCACCAGGAGGACGCTCCCCTCAACATTCAATGGAAAATAGAAAAAAATAAAATAAAATTTCCTCAGTTCTTGGAAACCAGTCAACCCTGAATTTGTTTGGAGGTCACACCTGGGGGTGCTCGGCGATCACTCCTGGTGGTACTTGGGGTGACATGCAGTGGCAGGGATTAAACCCCAGGTCAGCCTGGGCAAGGTAAGCGCCTTATTCCCTGTACTATCTTTCTGGCATCTCAATCCTGAATTAACACGATCTCTTCTTTCACACGTTAGATGGTAAATCCTTTTTTGTTCATGCTGTTTTGAAAAAAAAATTTTTTTTATGGCCACACCATGCTGTGTTTTAACTCTGGCTCTGCACTCAGGGATCACTTCTGGTGGTACTCAGGGGACCATATGATTGCTGGGCATCAAAACCTGGTTGGCTGCATGCAAAGCAAACATTCTACCCATTGTGCTATTGCTCCAGCCTGTCTTTAAAAAATCTTTTGTTTAGAATTTTTAATGGGCTGGAGCGAAAGCACAGCGGGTAGGGCGTTTGCTTTGCAAGCAACCAACATGGCCGACCCAAGTTCAATTCTTCCGCCCCTCTCGGAGAGCCCGGCAAGCTACCGAGAGTATTTCGCCCACACGGCAAAGCCTGGCAAGCTACCCGTGGCGCATTCGATATGCCAAACACAGTGACAAGCTGTCACAATGGAGATGCTACTGGGCCCGCTTGAGCAAATCGATGAACAACGGGAGGACAGTGACAGTGACAGAGTTTTTAATACCCTCTCCCCTCTCCTTGTAGTGACTCCCAGGATCACACAGGCTTGGTTGTGGTGCTGTGGAGGTCACAAGTGCTTGCACACATACCAACCAGGGGTCACTCACTTGTGGTGCTTGACAGTGGGGAACGAGGAGGCCACTGTGGTGCTCACTGGGGAACTGCAGCCCTGATCCAGTGTCCCAGCATCTTTTCAATTTCAGTGTTTGCACACATCTGGCTACGCACTCATCTCACACCTGATTGTGGTACCAGGGGGTCCCAGATAGCAAAGCTCCCATGGTCATGCTTACAAGGCAAACGCTTTTAGCCACTCAGCCACCCTCTATCACTTTTTTCCTTTTTTTTATATTTTTTTATTTTATAAGTTACTTCACAATATTTGATTACATTTGATATTCAAACACCAATCCCACCACCATTACACCTTCCCACCACCAAATTCGGGATGTTTCCATCCCAAGCCCCAATCCCTGTCCCAAAACACAAACAAAAGAATATATTTTGTATTGTCTACTATGGAGAACTGCTAAACAAGCTTACAAGAAAGTGTTCATATAGGAAACAGTGTGAAGATTGTTCTATTTTGGCAGGAGCCATTAAGACATTCTATAGGATATCACTAACATGTTGTTAAAGTTTGGGTGATGTAGGCTCTGGTATATATGTCTGAAAACATGTATATATGCACATATATATTTCCCTCTATGATTTGTTGCCTACTATCTGAACCCGATCAAATATGGTGTGGTAATTATGGAGAATGGGTAGGGGGTGTCTTATATGTCCAGGAATATGTTTACTCATATGTGAGGCTCGGCCAGAGCATGTGGGGAGTGGCGTGGAGCATGGCGGCAGTTGGGTAGTGGAGGTCAGCTGCCAGGACTGGGTCCCTTGGGGCGGGAGGGCTCTCACCCACCCCCCTCTAGGGTGCCCCGAGTGAAAACAACCTGGCGCAGAGTCCGGTGGCATGGTTTTGGGGGCCTCATTTTATGCCCCCTTCTGGGAGAAGCAGCCGTGAGTTCTGGAAGGTGACAGATGAGATTATCTATCACTTGTTTTAATTGAAGTCCTGGGCTAGAGATTTTGCAGGTAAGGCACCTGCCTTGAAAGTAGCTAACCTGTCGCCTTCTCCTCTCTGGAAAGAAAGATGGCGGCCGCATGGGAGCCTTGTGGACAGCAGGTATGAGCCGGGGGTGTGGGGGCGACTAAAACCTCATGGGAAGGGGGGCGTTCCGGTCCGTCCTTCACGCCCTACCGAGGTCACCAGTTGCCCCCCACGAGCGGCTCTCCAGCACGGCCACGGCCCCAGAAGCACAAGGACTTAATGCAGAACCCGGCAGCTTGGAGCAGAAAAGTGAACGGACTATGCGTTAACCCAGGCCATCAGGTCTGTCCGGAGGGGAAAAGGTGTTGCCCCAGTCGCCTTCTCCTCTCTGGAAAGAAAGATGGCGGCCGCATGGGAGCCTTGTGGACAGCAGGTATGAGCCGGGGGTGTGGGGGCGACTAAAACCTCATGGGAAGGGGGGCGTTCCGGTCCATCCTTCACGCCCTACCGAGGTCACCAGTTGCCCCCCGCGAGCGGCTCTCCAGCACGGCCATGGCCCCAGAAGCAGAAGGACTTAATGCAGAACCCGGCAGCTTGGAGCAGAAAAGTGAACGGACTATGCGTTAACCCAGGCCATCAGGTCTGTCCGGAGGGGAAAGGGTGTTGCCCCAGTCGCCTTCTCCTCTCTGGAAAGAAAGATGGCGGCCGCATGGGAGCCTTGTGGACAGCAGGTATGAGCCGGGGGACTGGGGGCGACTAAAACCTCATGGGAAGGGGGGCGTTCCGGTCCGTCCTTCACGCCCTACCGAGGCCACCAGTTGCCCCCCACTAGCGGCTCTCCAGCACGGCCACGACTCCAGAGCACAGAAACCAATTTCTTAACTATCTGACTTTCAGTAGAAATACTTCCAGGGTCAATAAGTAAAATAGCAGAAATCCAAAACCAACATATAATTCTTGAACCCAGCTATAGAAAGCAAATCACTTCACAATGCTTTGTCAGCATGTCTGATTTGGGGGTGGGGGGGGTAAACTCTATATAATAGTGGTGAATCTTTTATTGAAACAATGAATCTAATCAAAGCAGATAGAGTGTTAACTAGAATTCATCTGCCCCACAGGGACTGGGAGGGGTGGGGGGTGGGGTTTTATTGGGGTTCTTCATGGTAAAAAATAAGTATTGGTAAAGGGAAATGTGCTTGATATTTGCATGACTGAGACCTAAACCTGAAAGCTTTGTAACCTTTCCCATGGTGATTCAATAAATAAATAAATTAATTAAAAAAAAAAAAGAAAGTAGCTAACCTGGGTTTAACTCCCCAGCCCCACAGACTGTCCCCCAGCACAGGCCAGGGTCGCTCCTGAGCAGAGAGCCAGGAATAGCCCCAGCACCAAAACGTGTGACCCCCAAACCAAACCAAGATAAAAAAAAAAAAAGTCTCATTTAAAAAAACAAAATCCTATTATCCAGCGTTAATAGCCAAAAAGTAATGCTAATGCCAGTAATAGCACTGCGACCAATTTGCTTGGGAATTACTCCTGGCTCTGTGCTCCTGACAGGCTCGAGCAAACAGGGTGAGTGTGCAAGGGCCCAACCTGTTGTACTACCACTGTAACCCCTTAAACTCTAATTCTTAAAAGACTTCCTTTCTTGGCATGCTGGGGATTGAACCAAGATCTCACACTGAAAGGTAAGTGCTCTACCACTGAGCCACATGGGGGTGCAAGGGGGAGGTCACACCTGGCAGTGGTCAGGGATCACTCCTAACAGGACTCAGGGGACTATAAAAGGTGCTAGGGATCAGCCCAGGTTGGCCCCGGTTAGGCAAGCACCTGCCTACTGAACTATCTCTCCAGCCTCTCTGCATCTGCTTTTATTAGTGATGGACACTGAGAAGGCAGCCAGGGACAATTTGGGGAGAGTACTCCAGCCTCTGACCACAAAAACACCACATCTGACTTTCAGCCTCCAGAAGTGTGAGATTTACATTCTATGGTTTAAGCCCCCCTGTTGAGGATATTTTGTTAGGGAAGCCTGAACAGTCTAATAGATATATGAGGATGAACCCACAGTGCCAATTACTGCAAGTTTCTTTCAAGGAAAAGCCAAGCCTGCTATTTTATTCTCCTATTCCCTTTCCTATTTTCAGCTTACATACAAGAGTTTTTCAATTTTGTTTTTGCAAAAGATTTTTTAAGATGTCACAAAATAGAACATCCAGACCCCGCTCCAGGCTGTCTTCACCAGCGCAATATGGAGGAGGGCAGGTGAGTTTCCCTTCCCCTCCCCAACAGAGCCCCAGTAGCTGAAAACTTCCAGAACTCAACCGCCACCATGCTCACAGCCACTGTCCACAGGCTCAGACAAGCGTCACCCATGAGTGGATCTACAGAAAAACCCAGATATGTGGGACCTATGACCGAAATCTCCAAGTTCACTCAGAGTGGGAATGGGACTCCTCCCCCAATCTCCCAAGTTTACCAGTAGCTTGGCTGCCACACCCACAAACTGCCCCTGGCACCACATCATCTCATCAAAGCCAAATTCCAGAGACTCAGAAATAAAGCTGCTGGGCTGGAGAGATAGCACAGCGGGTAGGGCATGTGCCTTGCACGCGGCCGACCCGGGTTGATTCCCAGCATCCCATATGGTCCCCTGAGCACCGCCAGGAGTAACTCCTGAGTGCAGAGCCAGTAGTAACCCCTGTGCATCGCCAGGTGTGACCCCCCCCCCAAAAAAAAGAAATAAAGCTCCTGAAAGAGAGCAACACAGGCCTCACCCATGAGTGAATCTGCTGTAAATCGTATTCTGAATTTTAGAATTCCTGGAGTGCGTGGCAGTGAACCTCTCATACTCTATCCCACTGATGTACCAAGAGTAGCACACATACAACGGGGTTTAACAAACATGTTAGTAATCTTTATATAAGGGCTTAAGGTTCCATGATGAAATACAACAATCTTCACACAGAGAAAAAATAAAAACAAAAAAGCTATCCATTAAATTTTATGATCACTTCAGAAGCATTATGAGAATAATTAGAATGTTTTTATTGAGATTAAGCAACTTTTTAAAAAAGCTGATAAATCACATATTTAATTTTGCATCATTATTTGTATCAGAAAGTAAAAATTTTCTAGGTACTGATTTATAATGTCTATAAGCAAACAAAAGCATTCAGTTGTACAATTAGTAATCCCTTTAAGTGAATTTTTAATCCTCAATTTAAACTGAATGCAATAATTTAGTATAATGAGCTGAATACACGCTTAACCTGTAAATCCTGAACTACAATACTGGTTTCCATAGCCACATATGGTTTTAATCAAGCACACATTTCCACACTGAACAAGTACTAACAAATGTTAATAAAAATGCCCCAGATGCTTATCCTGCCATCTGCTTTTTAAGCAATGCAATTCCTATTACACAAAGCATATATTTTTAGAAATCAGAAAAAAATCAGTTCCACTAACACTTAACAAATAGCATGTTATAAACCCCAAAGGGTTTAAATTAAAAAAGCCTTCTACAGTCTACCACTGTTCAGTTCTTGGCACCACATGGTCCCTCAGGCATTGGCGGTACTGCCCTGAAGCTCACCGGGGCACTGCCCCTGCTCCCTTCCAGCGCTGCTGGGTGGCCTGAACAATCCTCAGCACCACAGGGCCCAAGGAGCATGGCCCTCACACAGCACCGCAAGCCCAGGGTCCAAGAATCACAGAAGGAGCACCCTGAGGACTGTGAGGCCAAAACACAAAGGCCTTTTTTCCAATAGGGAAGCAGTCAAATGAAACTTCTGGTTTCTCAAAAGCAAATTACTCATGTCATCTGAAGAATAAAGTATATTTAAGATGGAAGCATTCCCACATAAGACTGTTTTAACTTCTCTCAGAAGAAGCAAGAAAAATCACTCACTACCTTTAATAAACCTCTCAACCCCTACTATTAAGATGGAAGCATTCCCACATAAGACTGTTTTCTTGTAACTTCTCTCACAAAAAAAAAAAACAGTCACTATCTTTAATAAACCTCCGGACCACTACTGTTTAAAAAAAAAAAATCAAAGAATGATACACATGTCTCAGCTATCATAGTTAATGGTATCATTTATAATTTACATATTAAGGAGCTACAGTAGTTTACAATGGCACAATAATATCTAATAAATATTACATTATCATTCAAAATAGTGATAAGTCAGGAACTTCATGGTTTCCAAGATATTTCAATGACACATCACTAAAACTTGCTAAGTAATTCAAGTACAGTCATATATAAAGGCAGGCAATTAAAGGCTTGATGATCACTGTAAAACTGAAGACATGAAAATAAAGGCTGAAAATGCTTCACTTCAAATTTCATTTACATAGCTACATACCAAGACCTTATGAAAAATACAGTTATTAGATATGGCTTCCCAAGAAGATAATGAAGCGTCAGGCAGTACAAGGCGTCAAGATCCATAGTTCGCTTCATCAAATGCTTTTCTAGCTCGTTTTAATTCTTCATTCATAGTAAGCAAGTCTTTAACCCTAGCAAACTTCCTTGGATCCTTTCGGATCAAGAAGACAATATCTTCAACTTGGACTCGACCTTGTCTTCCAATTGACATTGCCTTGTGAGTCTGTTACAAAAAAAAAAAAAGAGTATTTAAATCAATGAATTTGGAATAAGTAGTATAAAATAAATTTGTTATGTGCCAAAGGGAGCAAGTCAGGATTGGGAGGGAAACTGGGGATATTGGTAGAGGGAAGGTCAAACTGGTGGTGTTGGAACATTAAATTCTTGAAACAACTGTATAATGAACAACTTTATAAATTATGGTGCTTTTAATAAAAATTGGTTTTGAAAATCAATTACTTTTTTAGGAGGGTGTCTTTGGGTCAAACCCAGTGGTGGGATAATTGTGCCAGGAACTGCTCCTGGCAGTGTTTGGGTAAACACGCGGCACTGTGGACCACAATGGGGTCAGGAACATGCAAGTAAAGCACCTTAATCCCCATACTATCTCTCTGGCCCCTATGTTTAGTTCAATTTATATGTTGGGGGTAACACCCAATGGTGACCAGGGGCTTCTCCTGGGTCAGGGTTACTCCTGCCAGTACTTCAGTCTCCCACATGTTCCAGCTCGCTATTTCTGCTTTATTGATTTAATTTGTATTTAATTCTGGTGGGCTGGAAGTACTCTAATTATTATAGCTACTCATTTGTAAGTCACCTTTCTATTCATGTCTTTTGATAACTTTCTACTGTTTTATTTTGGTCAATACCCTGCATTTTTAGGGATCCCTCCTGGAGGTGCTCAGAGGAACATATGTGGTGCTGGGGCTCAGAGTGGGGTTAGCTGCAAGCAAAGCAAGCATCCGTATGGAGAGCTCAGGGGTGAGCACCGTCAGGAGCGACCGAGAGCACCGATGGGTGTGGCATGTGCACACACAATATAATGAAAGTATTATTTTTACTCAGAGACAGTGAATATCAAGATTCTGGTGACTGTTCGGGGGCCATACCCAGCTGTGATCAAAGATCACTCCTGGTGTACTTCAGGGGACCATATGTGGTGCCAAGGATTGATCCTTGGTTGATATGATGCAAAGGAAGTGCGTCACACACTGTACATTCTCTCCAACACAGACAAAAAAAATTTAATGTGTACACTTGTAAAATCTTATCACGCCGAAGGTTGTATGTTCACGGGCTCACTGGACGGCACTGTTTCACCGCCTGCGTTCGGTGCTCTTGAGCCACTGTGTGTGGCCTGGATCGGAACGGCTGTTGGCCAAGGGCAGACGGAAGAAAAAACGGGGGCCAGGCCGGACTATATCAATAGTAGTTTATTCCAATCCTCTTCACTCCTGTCTTTCTCTGCCTCCTTCTCTCCTGGGCCCCAGTCTTAGAAGCTCTCTCCTTCTGGCTCTGACTCTGGATCTCTGGAGCCCAAGCTCTCTCGCTTCTGACTCCCCTCTCCGAGCTTACGTCTTAGTTTATATAGCAGTCACATAAGGCGGTGACATAAAGGTGGGTTGAATACTGACGAATCAACAAAGAGAGGTAAGACCACTCCTCCAGGAGATTAACTCAAGGATAAAATCTCATCTACAGAGATTACTTCAGATTACTAGGAGATCCGCCCAAGGGTGGGATCCCAACAAGGGTGTGTTCTTCCTTCAGTTAGTAATCTACTTAAATAGTTGTAATAAATCTACTTCTAATATTTCTAGCAATGTCATTCTGTATGAGCACAGTAAGGTAAAGGTAAAGGTAAAGGCCCTCCCGTTGATCGTCGATTTGCTTGAGCGGGCCCAGTAACGTCTCCATTGGAGACTTTGTTGTTACTGTGTCTGGCATATGGAATACTCTCGGTAGCTTGCCGGGCTCTCCGAGAGGGGCGGAGGAATCGAACTCGGGTCGGCCATGTTGGCCGCTTGTAAGGCGAACACCCTACCCGCTGTGCTATCGCTATCACTGTGCTATCGCTATCGCTGTGTTATCGCTCCAGCGTTCACCTTATAAGCGGCCAACATGGCCGACCGGAGTTCGATTCCTCCGCCCCTCTCGGAGAGCCCGGCAAGCTACCGAGAGTATCTCGCCCACACAGCAGAGCCTGGCAAGCTCCCCGTGACGTATTCGATATGCCAAACACAGTAACAACAAAGTCTCCAATGGAGACGTTACTGGGCCCGCTCGAGCAAATCAATGATCAACGGGAGGGCCTTTACTTATGAGCACAGTAAGAGATATAAATTTAGTTTGGTTCTTCCTGAGAACATCTCACTATACATTTCGCAGTCCTCAGGCCAGGTTAATCTTCCTAGCTCCAGCAGGGTCCTAGTCTTGTCGTTACTTACTTTTGGATCACGACAGCATTTGTCCATGATCATGCCCTCAACTTATAGTTGAGTATCGTGGCTCTTTGGCCTGGCCCATTTCGATGCCAGGGTAGCTCACTGCTTGCCCTGGGTCCATTCAGTCCCTCGTCGGGACCCTGCTTTTAGGGTGCTAGGAACTAAGGGCAACTGAGTCAAGAAATCAGATGTCCAGGAGTAAATATTATTCGGAGTCAATCAACTCCCAAGTTACAAAGCATAATATTAACTATCTTCCTGTGTCCACACAGAAAGGACATTGCTTACAAGTTCAGTGTTCTTAGATGGGTGTGACCTGACAAACCTAAGCTACCTGAGGAAGGACAAAAGAGTGTTATCCTACATACATTGAGCGATAGCACAGCGGGTAGGGCGTCTGCCTTGCACGCAGCCAACATGGCCGACCCTAGTTCAATTCCTCCGCCCCTCTCGGAGAGCCCGGCAAGCTACCGAGAGGATCTCGCCTGCACGGCAGAGCATGGCAAGCTCCCCGTGACGTATTCGATATGCCAGACACAGTAACAACAAGTCTCATGATGGAGATGTTACTGGGCCCGCTCGAGCAAATCGATGAACAACGGGAGGACCGTGACCATGACATTAAGCTGGTAATTCTTTTATTATTTTGTACTAAGCAACGAATTCAGAGGGAAAATTGTTATAAAAAATGAGCACAGCCAGGGTTGCAAGAGCAAAGCAGGTAAGGCACTTGCTGGGCACATGTCCAACAAAGGCTCAACTGCAAGCACTGCATATCCCTAATATTTTGGGTGACAGGGATTTTGATCCCCATTCCCGGTGCAGCTTGAAAGCCACCTCATGGGGCTGGTGGGGCATTGTATAGGTGATAGAGGTGCAGGTTTTAGTAGTCCTAACTCAATCCAGGAACTTCCCCAGGGGACGAAGTGGGTCACACAGAAAATGAGAGCATTAAAACAATCATTCAAAGGGCATATGTAAGCCATTACTCATTGCAGCACTCAGCACTATAGCTAGAATATGGAAGCAACTAACAGTTCAATGACAGATGAGTGGATACTAAAGGTATGGACATACACACATACACACACAAATATATATACACAATGGAATACTGTGCACCTGCAAGGAATGATAAAATGATGCAAGTGGATGGATTTGGAAGACACCACGTTAAGTCAGGTGGAGGACAAAAATCAAATGATCTCACTTATCTGCAGTATACAGAGTAAGAGGATGAAGAATGCAAGGTTGCAAAGGGGGGATAGTGACTGGCAGGCTCTCCGACCAGCATGCACAGGAGCAGCACTGAGTATGACCTCCTGCCACTGCAGCCACAGAGATGGAAAGGGAAGGGAGGGAGAGGTAAGGAAAGATAAGTGCAGGGGCCAGAGAGTCAGTGCACTGGGGAAGGCGCTGGGAGAGGCGCCTGCATTGCACACAGATGAACAAGTTCAGTTCCCCGGCACTGCATATGGTTCCGGTTCCCTAAGCACAGAGCCAGGAGAAAGTCGGAGTACAGCTGGGTGTGGGCCCACCTCCCCAAGCTCCCACCCACTCCCACAAAAAAAAAGTACTTAGACACATACACACTCAGAGACAAATAAATGCAAATACATTCAGAGTGAAATACATTTACTTGCTGAAATACTAGTATTTCTGTAAGTTGAGTCAGTGTTCATTTAAAAAAAATTTTGGTCAAATTGTTGACCAATATAGAAATAGATTATAGAAATTATAGAAATCTTGACCCTAGATTATAGAAATGAAGACAGGGAAGGAAATAGAGGGAAGAAAATAAGAAGCAATAGGGGCAGGGGCCTAGGGAACATTGGTGGTGTAGAAGTATGGCATACCAGGGCACTGGTCTTGCACACAGTCAACCTGGGTTCAATTCCTGACACCCCATGTAGTTCCCCAAAGTCCCCTAGAAATGATCCCTGAGAGGAATAAGGCCCAAGCACCGAGAATTACCCAGTGTTAACAACCAAACACAAAACAAAAATAACTAAAAAGAAGTGTGGTATATCTGTATTACTAACCACAGAGCCAACAATACTGAAAACATGACACCTAAACAACCAATCTTAAAGCTGTGCCTGCCAGGAGGCTGCTGGGAGGAACCTGTGGTATGGATGCAACGAAGCTGACACTGCTGATGGGTTTGGTGCTGAAACCCTGGATGCCTGAAACTCTCTTAACTTCGTAAATCACGGTGCCCTAATAAAATTTTAGGTGCTGAAACAGCCACCCCGAGTGATCCGTGAGTGTAATGACAGGAATAAGCCTTGATCACCAGTGGGGGGTGACATTCAGCATCAACCCCGCCCCCCTATAAAGACAAAAAAAAGATAAAATTTTAAAAGAAAACGGGAGTACTCTTCTCTTGAGGCGAAATTCATTTTTATTAAGTGAATCACTATTAGATTTCATACAGTGTTCTAATATACATGCTTGCACCAGTGTACTTTCCCAGCACCAGTGTCCCCAATTTCTACCCATCACCTCCTACCCCACCCCAATGTCTGTCTGTCTGTCCGTCCGTCTCTGTCTCTGTCTCTGTCTCTCTCTCATTGTGGTTTGCAATACAGATACTGAAAGGTTGTTTTATATATCCTTTTACACACTGTTAACACTCAGTTCTTGTCCAACGTGATCATTTCCAACTATTACTGTCATACTGGTGCCTTCTCTATCTTACCTATCCTCGGCCCCACACACATTTGTGGTAGATTCCAACCACTGACCAGTCCTCCTGAGGCTAAATTCTCTACACCACACTTCACGCAAATGCAATACTGTTCAAGATAACCCAGTGTGTCAGGTGATCTGCAACTTAATTTGTAAGCCACCCACTTTTTGGTCCCAACTTTTTAAGGCACGGAGCTCATTCTTCGTCTTGGAGATTCACACCATACATCTCAACCTGAGGTGTGTAACTTTTCCTTTACAATTCCTTCTCCACCCTGAAGATTTGCCCACATCTCACTTGAGGTGTGCATGCTCAGTTTTCCCCCGGGAGTCTGTATTTTCTCTTGAACATGTATCTCTCTCCCCCTCATAGTTCTCTAAATAAAAACTTCACTTTGCACACACAAGAGAGATACATATATAATACGTGCAGACACACATGTATCTCCATCCCTGTAGGATAACACTGGTTTGTCCTTTCTGCCTTGCCAGAGAGCTTAGGTTAATTGGGTTACTCCCACCACAGTGCTTCCATTCCTGTATTTGTAACTTCTTTCTTTGTGCTCTGTTAACTTGTAAATATTGCTTTTCTCTTCGCTTCTCTTAAATTCTCTGCATAGTTAATTCAGATCAATGTCCTTTTTGTCTGGACACAAGAAGACAGTAAATGCCATGCTTTTGTAAAGTGGGAGTTAATTGAGTCTCAATGATATTTAGCCCCTGGGCATCTGTTCTCTAGAATTAAGCCTCAGCTGCCCTTACATTTTAGCATCCCAAAAGCAGGAACTGGATGGACCCAGGGTAAGCAGTGAGCTATGTGCTACCCTGGCATCAAAATGGGCCTGGCCAAAGTGCCAAAATGCTTAACTATAAGAGCTTGGTCATGGACAAATGCTGTCATGATCCAAAAATTATTAACTAGATTCAGACCCTGCTAGAGTTAGGAATGATTTATCTGGCCTGAGCACTGTAGCCTGAGTCTGTGGCGAGATGTTCCCAGGAGAGCCACAACACAAGCCTCAATGTATCTCTTACTGTGTTCATACAAAATAACTAATATTAAGAAGTAGAACTAAGATGTTAATTAAGATGTTAATTGAGTTATTGGACTGAGGAAAGGAGAAAAACACCTTAAGTGTTATTTTGTCCTTGAGCAAAGAAAGGGCTTTCTTATGTTGATTTTGCTATGGAAATGAGTGCATAGCAGACTGGGTATAGGTCTGCCTCCAGGGCTGGGAGTTGGGGAGAGGGGAGAGGGGAGAGTTGATGGGAGAAGAGAGAGCAGGGCAGCAAGATGGAGCACAGAGAGATGAGCGGGAGACGGGAGACCGAGAAGGGAATGAGGGGAGGTGTGAGAATAGAATGGGGGGCTCAGAGAGACCGGAACAGGCGTGTGGGGAGAATGGGATAAATGGCAACTGATCCATCAACTGGCTTGGTCCTCGTTTCCTCCTCCATCTGCCCCATGGCCTGGGCCGCAGGGCTGGGGGAGCAGCCTGAGGACCCCCCTTAATGTGGGTGGTCCTCGTCCCTGGGGTCTTCCCTGGTCGCCCTTGGAGATTAAACACATCCTTAGTAATATTTACTAACCAATCATTTCCACAAAACAGGTATTGAATTAGGTCAATATTCTTCACCATTTTCACATTTGCAGGCTAGGAAAAATAAAAATATTCCATAGGCCAGCTGACAGCTAAAACAGAAACAGAAATCAATATAGATAGTATTTTATTTATTAAGCCCAGTGCTATAAAGTTGTAATTCTTAGGTAGTATGTCTGTTGCTTTGACTGGGGGGAATTTGTGTGTGTATGTGTGTGTGTAGGGGGTGTGTACACACATGTGCACATGATTTTAGATCATATGTGGTGTTGCTCAGGGCTTACTCCTGTGCTCAGGAATCACTCCTGGATGGGCCCAGGGGACTCAGGTGACACTGAGGACTGAACCAGGGTCAGCTACAATCCAGGCAAAGCACTTTATCTGCCATACTATCTCTTCGGCTCCAAGGTGGAAAACTTATGATGAACCTCAGGATATTTCCATAGACTGGTACTGGCCCACAGACCACAGGATGAAGTAGAGGAAGGTACAGTATTTTTAAAGGAAGCAATAATTCTAGTCTTATCTAAAAGAACTTTAAATCTATTTATTAATTATAAAGAACCTTACCATTTCAGTGATGAATTCTATGACAAGGTCTTCAAGAATATCCACTGATTCTGTATAGGGATTCTGGTCATCGCCAAACCCGTACATCATACATCGCACTGGAAAAGAAAATTTCAAGTCTTGTTTACTTAAACATTATTAACAGCCTGATCAACTTTTTTTTCTCAAATTAACACTGAATCAACTTACAGAAATACTGGTATTTCAACAAGTAAATATATTTCACTATGAATGTCTTTGCAGTTATTTGTCTCTGAGTGTGTATGTGTGTAAGCACCTTTTTTTTGTGAGGGGGTGGGAGTTTGGGGGGCTGGGCCACACCCAGCTGTACTCCGAACTTTCTCCTGGCTCTGTGCTCAGGGAAACATATGCAGTGCCGGGGAACTAAACTCGTTCATCCGTGTGCAATGCAGGCGCCTCTCCCAGCGCCTTCCCCAGTGCACTGACTCTCTGGCCCCTGCACTTATCTTTCCTTACCTCTCCCTCCCTTCCCTTTCCATCTCTGTGGCTGCAATGGCAGGAGGTCATACTCAGTGCTGCTCCTGCACATTCTGGTTGGAGAGCCTGCCAGAGTTGCCGTACGTTTCCTGGCTGTGGAGTTTGTACATATTTTAGGGGTATTCAACAGGAGTCCCCTGGTGAACACCCCTAAAATATGTCCCAAAGTGTCTTCAGTTGTGGAGCTCAACACATCTATCTGTGGTGTGGCCGGAAACCATCATGGCACCAGGGATTAGAGAGCAGAGCTGCCGGTGCCGGGATGTGGTGGCACCAGGGATTCTAAGACCTGGCTTTTGCCAGGAAAGTGTTTGAAGCTACTGGGCTATAGCCACAGGCCCCTGGTTTGGGAAAGAAAGAACACCTGAGCCCATTATCAAAGGTAGGAGTTTTATCCTTCTTACTGCTGCCCAAAAGAGTCAATCCTGGGGCCAGAGAGATAGCACAGGGGTTAGGCACTTGCCTGGCATACAGCAGACCTGGTCTGATCCCCAGCACCACATATGGTCCCCTGAGCACTGCCAAGGATCACTATAGAGCACAAAGACAGAATAGCCCCTAGCACCCCTGGACATGGCCCAAACCCCCTCTCCCCCCAATCCAACCAAAAAGGTCAATCTTGTAGACTGAGTAGAATAGACAAAAAATCAGAATCTTTATGCCATCTCGTATCTCACTGCTCACCGTCTTCCTGCCTTGTCCATTCCCTTTATCCAAAGCTCCAATTTCATTTTTACTCCAGCTCCTGGGCAGGACCCATGTAACTTTTGGATTTTAGCTACCCTCTGCTCCTACTGCTACAGAGCAAGAAAGAGTAAAATTAATGGAGACAGGGCTGAAGCGAGCACAGGAATTTAGGCACTTGTGTTGTATGAGGTTGAATCCATTCAATCCCTTGCACCACCAGGAGTGATCTCTGACACAGAGACAGGAGTAAGCCCTGAAAACTGCCAACTGTGATCCCCCCAAAAATCCAAAAGTGTAATACACACACACACACACACAGGAAAATATGTGCTTCAGTCCCAGAATTACTATCACTATCACCCCGTTGTTCATCGATTTGCTCAAGCGGGCTCCAGTAACGTCTCCATTTGTCCCTGTCATGTGCTAGTGTAGCCCGATGACATATTGGGGGCTCTTTCAGGGTCAGGGGAATCAGGACCATCATTGTTACTGTTTTTGGCATATCAAGTACGCCACGCGTAGTTTGCCTGGCTCTGCCGTGTAGGCAGGATACTCTCAGTAGCTTGCCGGGCTCTCCGAGAGGGATAAAGGCTTTTGGAGCAGCCTCTAATCACCTTTACAAGTGATCCCAGTCAGCATTATTTGTGGGCATGATACTCTCAGTAGCCTGCCGGGTTCTCTGAGAGGTGAGAACTAGAGAATAAGAGGTTCATGGCTGCATGCTTTCAGGAGCTTGGTTTTATAGTCTCTGGATCCTGGCCATTGATGGGGTTACATGGCAGTTGGTGGGTGTAACTGTCTAGCTACTGGAAGATGGGGGATCTGGGTGGTGGAGGCCCAGTCCCGAACTGAGCAGGCTTGGAGATCTCAGCCCCAGGTCCCGCACACCTGGGTTCCTCTGCCGGTTCCTTCATGCGTGAGGCTCATCCAAGCGTGTGCAGAGTGGCCTCAGCATGGCTGTGACTGGGTCCAGGAGGTCTTCAGCTGCCAGGGCTCTGCTCGGGCCGAAGGGGAAACTCAAGGGGCCCCGGTGAGGACAGCCAGGCACGGGGGGGCAGGAGACTCTAACTTGTTCTCTTCCGGAAGCTTGGTTTTATAGTCTCTGGATCCTGGCTGTTGATGGGGTTACATGGCAGTTGGTGGGTGTAACTGTCTAGCTACTGGAAGATGGGGGATCTGGGTAGAGGAGGTCCAGTCCAAAACCGAGCAGGCTTGGAGATCTCAGCCCCGGGTCCTCTGCCAGTTCCAGAATTACTGTCACTGTCCTCCCATTGTTCATCGATTTTCACGAGCGGGCCCAGTAACGTCTCCATTATAAGACTTGGTTGTTACTGTGTTTGGCATATTGAATACACCACGGGTAGCTTGCCAGGATCTGCCATGCGGGCGAGATACTCTCAGGAGCTTGCCAGGCTCTCCGAGAGGGGCGGAGGAATCGAACTCAGGTCAGCCATGTTGGCCACTTGCAAGGCAAATGCCCTACCCGCTGTGCTATCACTCCAGCCCTAATTAAAGATAAATATCTAAGTTCATTGCTTTAAGAAAATATCAATCTCTGGGCCAGGAAGTAACTCAGCATACTAAGTACACACTCTGGATGTGTGCAGTGTCTGGGTCTGATACCCAGAACCACATGGTCCAGGCAACTTCCTGCCAAAAGCAAGTGCTGCAAGTAGCCCCTGAGCACCATGAGGTGTGGCCCAAAATTATAAAACTAAAGTATCAGGCTGGAGCGATAGCACAGCGGTAGGGCGTTCGCCTTACAAGCGGCCAACATGGCCGACCCAAGTTCGATTCCTCCGCCCCTCTCGGAGAGCCCGGCAAGCTACCAAGAGTATTCGATATGCCAAACACAGTAACAACAAAGTCTCCAATGGAGACGTTACTGGGCCCGCTCAAGCAAATCGACGATCAACGGGAGGGCCTTTACCTTTACCTTAAAGTATCAGGACCCAAAAAAAGTCGAGCAGATATTATGAATTTGTCTTACATGCATATAACCCGGGTTTGGCCACAAATGACACACCGGCTCCCCCGAGCACTGCCAAGAATTATCTCTGATCTTTGGCTATACCTGAGCTCAGCTGGGTGTAGCCAAATCCAAAAGATGAATAAAATCTAGTTCTTACTTTCTGCATTTATGACTTGGGTGAGTGGGGGTGGGGGGATGGGGGATGGGAGACAGGCTGATCCATACCAGCAACACTCAGGGACTTTTCCTAGCTCTGTGCTTAGGAATGGCCCCTGATGGTATTCAGGAGATTGTAAGTGGTGCCAGGGATAGAACCAGGATCAATCACATGTGAGGCAAGTGCTTAAATCCTGATACTATCTCTCCAGCCCTGCATTTTTGTGACTTTCTTTTTCGGTACCATAAACTAAGATTTTCACATAACATTCTAAAGGGTCCCAATTTTTAAAATGACCACGTTTTTCACATGAAAAAGGTACATACATATATAAACTCAAATGTACACATAAATATATCCATATACATGGGCTATGATCACTAAAAGTTAAATACCTGGGGCTGGAGAGACATTACAGCAGGTAAGGCACTTGCCTTGCATGTGGTTGACCTGGGTTCATACCCCATCATCCCAAAAGTACCTCCAAGCAACTGCCAGAAGTGATCCATGAGCACAGAGCCAACAGTAAGCTCCCGAGCATGGCTGGGTGTGTATGTGTACCCTCTCCGCCCCACACACACACACAAAAAAGGTTAAATTTTTTGTACGTGTGCAGTTTCAGGGATCTAACTCAGGGCCTCAGACCTGCAAAGCAAGAACTCTACCATCATGGAATCATGAAATCATGTCCTTTAACTCTAAACAGCACTGAGAGAACCTCCCAAGCAGAGTGCAGAGGCCCCAGAGTTCGGGGGAGAAGGAGGCCACTCTCTGTGACCAGGATTGTTCAGTGCTTGGCTATGATGTGGAGTCACTCTCTACAGTGCTCGGGTGACTGTGGGGAACCAGGAGCTGAACTCTGGCCCTCTGCAACGCAAAGCCCTTGAGCTATTTCCCTGACCTCTAGAGGATATTTCTCAGTTTGAGGATACTGTCCTCATAAGGGAAACATATTCAGGACATAAATCTACTTTGAACAAACATGACCGAAAATGACTATCATAAAATTTCCGTCAGACTTACATTCTTTAGAAAACAGTCTTTTTCTTTTACCCTGTCCACCTTCAGCACCTCCTCCGATTTCTTCATTTTCTTCTTCAAACTAGAAGATGCACATACAGAAATGTCAAGAATTGTATTTGATTGCGCGCGACTTTATTTATTTATTTATTTGCTTTTTGGGGTCACATCCGGCGATGCTCAGGGGTTACTCCTGGCTCGTGCACTCAGGAATTACTCCTGGCTCGTGCACTCAGGAATTACTCCTGGCTGTGCTTAGGGGACCATATGGGATGCTGGGATTTGAACCAGGGTCAGCCGTGTGCAAGGCAAACGCCCCACCCGCTGTGCTATCACTCCAGCCCCTGCCCTCGACTTTTAAATACATATGTGAGTATAAAAACATACACATAGGTGGCATTTTCAACACTAATATCTCAGGAAGCCCAAAGAAAGTGGCAAAAAAGAAAAAAATCAGGAATCTGGCATTTCAGGGGCTTTATAAACAATGTCCCTAACAATCTGACAGCTTGCACAGTGGTCCCAATGACCTTACTTTTTAAAAAAAAAAAAAAAGAAAGAAAACAAAAACCGTGGTTGAGAGAGAGAGCAGAATCTCGGAGGCTTGCCTGGCACGCTGCCCACAAGGTTAGATCCCCGGGATCACAAATCGAATCCAGCCAGGAACGACCCCACGGGACGGAGCCAGGAGTAAGCCCGGAATAACGCAGGGTGTGGCCCAAACCCAAAAGTCCGCCTGTTGCCACTTCCGTTATTACCGTGCGCGGGTACCGGGCCGAGGCTGACATTTACTAAAACACCCCCTGATGCAGTTCCAGGAACGTTCTCGAACACCCCTCCTCTCATCCTCAGAAACCCGAGGCTCTTAGAGCAGAACTACGGGCTGCGATGCTTGGCTCACGGCCGTGTGACCAGCCGACGTTACAAGGCTGAAATGCAGCCGGCGAGTACCCTGTACCCGAGGGAATCCTACTCTGATCGCTGCTGCCTTTCCTTCCGGTGGGGCTCCAGGTGGTATCGAAGCAACGCCAGGGCGAGGGGGCACCTTCCCAGTCGTGCTTCGCGCCCCGCACTCCCCGCACTCCCCGCACTCTGGAAAGAGGCATCCCCGGGCACGGGCGAGCCCGGCGCGAGGTCCCCGCGCTCCCGCGCCAGAACGCGCCCCGGAAGCCGCCTCCGACCTCAGCGTCCGCTACCGTGCGCGAGGGGACGGAAACAGGGCGGGTGGGGACAGCGGCGCTCACTCACAGTAGGGTCCTCCTCCTCGTCGGCCATGGCGGCCTGGCAGCCCGCCCGGACTGAAGCCCCGCGCCGCGCGCCTGCGGCCTTATACCACTTCCGCCGGCGCGCTTCCGGTGACGTCAGATGTGGGCGTGGCCCGGGCGTGGTCCGCCTCCGCGAGAAGCCCGGTGCCGGGCTCAGTGGCAGTTCGTAGGGTGAGCCCTGTCTGCAGAAATCCCTTAGCAGGAATTAAGAATTAGCCAAGGTTGAAACCTTCAGGAGTGGGCCCTGGCTTCCCTGAACACCGCTTGGAAGGCCAAAAGTTAATCGATTAAAAAGACTTTGCAGATCATCAAGAACTAATCATCAAGAACACTAAAGTGTTTAAATAAAGTGTAGAGGGGGGATGTTTTACATACATAGACCTTGCCTATTTCATGTCACTGTCACTGTCACTGTCCTCCCGTTGTGCATCGATTTTCACGAGCGGGCCCAGCTCCAAAATATATTAGCACAGAGTTTTTTAAAGTTTTATTAATGACAGGTAAGACATGATTATTGCCGTAAAGAGATCCAAGTATAAAAATTTAATGCTATGTATTTTTAGATCCAGAGTTGAAAACTTGCTTATGTAAATGAAAATAGGTATTTTATACTGTATTAAACGCTTGTGGGTTTTTTTTTTTTTTTTTTGCTTTTTGGGTCACACCAGCCGATGCTCAGGGGTTACTACTGGCTCTGCACTCAGGAGTTACTCCTGGCAGTGCTTGGGGGACCATATGGGATGCTGGGAATCGAACCCGGGTTGGCCGCGTGCAAGGCAAACGCCCTACCCGCTCTGCTATTGCTCCAGCCCCTGTATTAAACGGTTTTAATTTCCTTGTTTACATAGCTTAAAATCATAGAAAAATCACATATTGGCTCTTACTGATTTCTTTTCTGATCGTTCTATTTGCCATGTCTTGAAGTTTTGTTGGAGCAAGCAAAATAAAGTAAATTTATTATGTGTCGAAAGGGCAGGTTGGGACTGAGAGGGAAACTGGGGACATTGGTGGAGGGAAGGTCACACAGGTGATGTTGGGAACACTAAATGCCTGAAACAACTGTATTATGAGCAACTTTGTACATCGTGGTGTTTTAATGAAAATAAAATATATACAAATAAAAATTATTTTGCAAAGAGATGCAAGTTACTGGCTAGGCACTGTGTATCTTGAAATTTTGTGGGAGTGTTTATGCTTGTAGGCTGGGGCATTATGAACCAAAATCTAGGGCTGTAAGAGGTTTTGTAAACGGGCGATGATGACACACAACAGAAAGCTATCCCCAAATACATTGTTCTTGAATGTTCAGCTTAAATAGTAATGTGAATGAAAAGTCTGCTTATAATTATCTGAGCCTAGAATCCATCTTTATTAGCATATAAACACAAAGCATTTCCTATGTTCTTAAATTACATTAAATTTTCTAGGAATGGAACTCTCCTGAAGTTTGCTGAGATAATGTACTTTATTTTATTTGGAACGTGCTAAGAACTGTTAATTATATCACAACATTAACCCACAGTAGGATACTCACTGAAACCTGTGTGCATTTGTAGCTTCTCTCTGATCAATACTACTTATAGGTACAACCATCTGAAATTGTTACTATACCTCTGCATTCCTAAAAAAAAAAAATGCTGAAATAACTGAATTAAAAAGAGGGGTTTTCTTGGCAGGAAAAACTGCTTAGTGGGCCAGAGAGAAAGTACATGAGGTAAAATGCCTTTGCCTTGCACACAATTGACCTGGATTGATCCCTGGCACCACATATCAGAGTGATACCTGAGCATAGAGCCAGGAGTAAATCCTGAATACTGCTGGATGTGGCCAAAATAAATTAAAAAGTAAATTTGTGAGGGGATGATGAAGGGTGAAGTTGCAGAAAAACCTTTGACACCCCCTAATATTGTCATGTCTGAACATTTACATAAAAGACATTACATTTTATTTATTTTACTTTTTAGTTTACTGCTGTGCAGAGGAAAAAACCCAGGGTCTCATCAAGGCCCCACCACTGAGCTACATCCCCAGACCTTTATTTTACTTCTAAGTTACATTTAGTCCACTATCTATTTTTATTTGATTTTAATGGGAGTGGGTTACACCAGTGATGCTCATGGGCTCTGTGCTCAGGAGTGATCCCTGGCAGTGCTCAGGGGATTTGAACTGGGGTCAATGGGAGGCAAGATAAGTGCCTTAACTCCTGGACTATCTCTCCAGCCCTAGGGTATTATGTGTTTTTAAATTATGTGTGTAGTTAAGTATATTAGTTAATCATATGTGATAAATTATACCAAAAACATAGCTTAAAACAGTGAAACATTTCTCCATCTCCCATGGTCCAAAAATTGGTACAGATTAACTGGGCACCTCGAATCAAGCGCCTTGAACTTCAGTTGGGGGTGTAGGATGGGATCCTGGTCTCTTTTGAAGCACTGATGGCTGAAGAGCCTCTTCCAGAAGTGCTCCCACAGCTGTCAGAGGGATTTTTGTTCCTTGTAAGTCCTTCCAGTTGTTGGACGAGGGCTGTGGTTCTTTATGACCATCATCAGAGGCTTGTCTCTATTCTCAGTCCCTTGGTATTCTCCACAGGGCAGATTACAACATGGCAGCTGATTTCCTTCTGAGCAGATGAACCAGAAGCCCAGGAAGAACACTCAAGACAGAAGCCACATTTTTGAGAAAAAAAAAAGTTTTTTCCATTTTGTGTATCTCTGCCTCAAATGTGACATTCCATCCTTTCTTTCCCATCTACTCACAGAAGTCAGTAAATGCAGCCCACCTCAGGGAGAGATGACAGAAGGGCACCACTATTCAATAGCAGAGATCAGTTAAGGCTGTCTACTCACCAGAGTGGGCTGCACTCCCTGAATGTCACTCACAATAACAAAATAACAACACGTGTATTTGAAGGACTGTTAAATCTGATAGGCCGGAGAACAGCACTATTAGATTATAATGAAGTGTTAGCTGTGTGACAGCAGCCGGGACAAACCCCCACAGTGCCTAGCAATAGAGGAGCAGATATCAGGGGCTCCCAAACTTATCTGACCTACCACCTTTTCCAGAAAAAAAAAACTATCTAGAGCACCTCTAAAAATGTATCTTCTTTAAGAGAGAATGAAGTGCTCCCCCAATTGCATCCGAGGCTATTATTATTCCAATGCCCCTGAGGGGTTGTATCACCCACTTTGGGAAAGACTGTTCTAGATATATATCAAGGAATACTATGCAGCCATCAGAAAACTAAGATGCATAGAGCTTGAAAACATGGATCTGGGGCAGGAGTGATAGTACAGAGGGTCGAGGTGTTTGCCTTATACATGGCTAGCCCAGATTCAATCCCCAGCACCCCGTATGGTCCCCCCAACCCTGCCAGGAGTGATTCACCACAGGGTGTAGCCCCCAAATAGGACAAACAAATGAAACATACAGCTGTTTAAAGAAAGACAGTGAGGGGCTGGAGCGACAGTACAGCGGGTAGGGTATTTGGCCTGCACACGGCTGAACCGGTTTGATTCCCAATATCCCATATGGCCCCCCGAGCACCGCCAGGAGTGATTCCTGAGTGCAAAGCCAGGAGCAACCCCTGTGCATCGCCGGGTGTGACCCAAAATGCAAAATAAATAAATATTTAAAAAATAAAGAGACAGTGATAAAGATGAGACAGTATATATATATATATATTTATACATATGTATATATATTTACACTAAATATGCAAACTAAAAACATACAACAGTGCACATTTGATAGGAACATATGAAAAAGCATAGACATTTGATACATTAGACAGGTTGAGGGGTAGTAGAAATGAAAATAGGGATGAAAGGAATGCGTGAATTGAAGGACTTTGGATGGGTCCATAATAATAATAATATTTAATCAACTTGTGTACAATGACAATAACTCAATCTTCAAACCTGAGGTTCAAAATTAAGTGCAAAATTACTGCAGTGTTGCCGCTGGAATTGTGAGTCAGTGTGAAGTACATGCTTGACATGCAGAAAACCTGGGTTTCATTTTCAGTTCCTTACACACTTCTTACTTGCTATTGCATTTTCTGGTTATTTACATACACACTTTATCAAGTCTTCGAAATTGTATTGAGAACAATCTGTTTTTCATTCGTCTTTGAGTTCCCAAAGGCTATCTCATTCCTGAGTCTGAGGAGTCCCTGCAGCAAACAATGGTAGCATAAATTAATGCCTGTTTAACATCCCTTTTCAATATGTTGTGATTCAAATGAAGCTTCTTGCAAGCTGTGCCTTGGGGCTGAACTTTCTCTTTGGTGAAACCAGAATGCCACAGTCCTGATCCCCATGACTGATCAGCATTAGCCACAGTGACCACAACCCTAACAAACAAGCCACTGTTCTTGGCTGATTGGCATTTGGCAACAACTTCCCGTTCCCCAGTGGAAGCAGAAATGAATCCAGAAAGGACTATCTGAATTGTGTCCCCAGTCAGTGGAACTTAATTTATTCCCTGTAGTCGAGCTACAAGAGCCAATGACCCACACTTTGGCCTCGTGTGAGGTTATGGGCTTCTCCAGGGTGACAGAAACACAGTGCTTGGAACAAAATCAAGGCAGATCACTGTTAGTGGAGAGTTTCCTAATTCTAGGTGGTATGAAAATAGGAAAGTGAGCTTTGAAGTCGGACAGACCTGGGTTTGGATCTTACAGCTATGTAACCTCATCCAGGGGCCTTCTTTAGGCATCAGATTTCTTATGTAATTAACATTTTTAATTTGGGGGGTTTTGGACCATACCCCCAACTCGGTGGTGCTCAGTGATTACTTGGGGATCATTCCTGGCGGGGCTCAGGGGACCATATAGGATGCCAGGACTGACAGGTCAGCCACATGCAAGGCAAGTGTCCTACTCACTACACACTCTCTCCAGTCCCTTGAATGACTCCTTCCTTCCTTCCCTCCTTCGTTTCCTTCCCTCCCTCTCTTCCCGCCTTCCTTCCTTCCTTCCCTCTCTTTTCTTTCTTCCTTTTTGGTTTTTGAGCCACACCCAGCTGTACTCTGGATTTACTACTCCTCACTCTGCGGTCAGAGATTACTCATGGCAATGCTCACGGGAACCGTATGGGATACCAGGGATTGAACTTGGGTCAACTGTGTGCAAGGCGAACATCCTACCCTTTGTACCATCACTCTGGCCCCTGGATTTCTTATTTTTTAAAATCCTGCAAAATATGAGGCTGGAGATGTGGCTGAACCATATAACTAATGCCTTTGAGTTTATCTGACCTGGGTTCAAATCCTGGCACCACCACCACCACAAAATAAAATAAAATAAAAGTCTTGGTAAAAATACTGTCAGGGACCAGAGCAGCAGCACAGCAGGTGGGGAATTCATTTGTCTCACATGCAGCTGATCTGGGTACACCCCCGGGTGCCCCAAATGGTCCACCAAGTCCTGCCAAGAGTAAGACCTGAACACTGCCAAGTGTGGCCCAAATATCAAACAAACAAACAAACAAACAAACAAAAGTAGATAGAAAAGGGTATCTGTTGCCACTCTGGTTTTTAGGTCACGCCTGCTGTGCTGGAGTTGGGGGTCCCTCCTTTATTGGTGCTCTGGGGAACATGTTGTGTCCTGGATAGAATCTGGGGTTCCTGCTGCAAAGTCTATATTCCAGCCCTATAAGCTTCCTGTCTGACCCCAAAAAGAGTAAGCTTTTAAAATACTTTTGTTGGGTATTGGGCACTCCTGTGGTGCTCAGGGGTTACTTTTTGTTTTTGTGTCACACCCGGCTGTGTTCACAGGTTACTCCTGGCTGTGTATTCAGGAATCACACCTGACAGTGCTCTGGGGACCATATGGGCTGCTGGGGATTGAACCTGGGCTGGCAGCACGCAAGGCAAATGCTCTACCAGCTGTTCTATCTCTCCAGCACTCAGGGGTTACTTCTGTGGTAATTGGGAGAGCTCAAGGTCCAGGGATCTGGCCTGGGCCTCCCCCATGCAAAGCCAGCTATTGACCTATCTCCCTGGCCCCTTAAAATTATTTTTCTTTTTTTTTTGTGAAGTAACACTAAATTACAATATATAAATTTCAGGTGAGCATCACTGAAAATCAGAATGTGCGTATACTACATTAAGGTCTCCACTGAAAGGCTAACTACACACACACACACACACACACACACACACACTCACTCCATTCATTACTCTCCATTGTTCTGCTCTACCCAGCCATCTTCCTGCTCCAGGATTACTCCTGGAGGGGCCTGGAGGACTATATGAGGATCAAACCCAGATGGACCATGTGCAAGGCAAGTGCCCTACCCATTGTATTCTCACTCCAGACCTGTTTTAGAGTTCTTTTTTATTTTGGCTTTTTGGGTCACACCTGGCAATGCTCCTGGTCTCCTGGCTCTGCACTCAGAAATTACTCTTGGCGGTGCTTGGGGGACCACACGAGACGCCGAGGCTTGAACCCAGGTCGCCTGCATGCAAGGCAAACGCCCTCCCAATGCACTATTGCTCCTGTCCAGTCTTAGGGAATTCTTGATGAAAGGTTCCAATGCCAAGACAATTAGGGAGTTTTGTTTTTGAGCTCTGAGCAGTTCTTTTTCATTTTCCATGTGTATGTTAATGCTTATATCTGGATTTGTCTTGTGTCCTGCTGCGTATATCTTCCATTTTTTAAAAATTATTTCTGGAGGCTGGAGCGGTAGCACAGCGGGTAGGGCATTTGCTTTGCATGCGGCTGACCCGGGAGTGATTCCCAGCATCACATATGGTCCCCTGAGCACCGCCAGGAGTAATTCCCTGAGTGCAGAGCCAGGAGTAACCCCTGAGCACCGCTGCGTGTGACCCAAAAAGCAAAAAAAAATTATTTCTGCATCTTCGTTTGTTCTTGGGAGGGCGTCTATCTTCTGCATCAGCCCTTTTGGTCACATTTCTCCATCCTAGCTCCAAGGAGGCGTTAGCAGCTTTTCTTCTTTTGAGTGTAGATGCGCACTGCGGCCAGCAGAGGACACTGCAGCCGGCTCCACCCCCCCACCCCACCCCCGCACCGTCCCCTCCCCTCCCCGCCCCAGAACCTGAGCCACAAAGGAGAAACCCCTGCAACTGTCTCAGCCTGAAGATTGAAGCAGGTGGGGCTGGGCGTAAGGAGTTCAGTGTATTGGGATCTGTGGCTTGGCTTCCTCCACCTGATGCAGGCAGGTAGGTTAGGGAAGCGCCCCCCCAACACACATACCACCACCACCATCACCATAATGGCAAAAAAGAAAATGAAATTTCTGGGATGAATAAAGCCACTAGTCCTAAGTCTGACCCACTTTATGGATACAGAAAGCCAGACCTGATAAGACCTTCTCCAGCAACAGACCCCTAGGAAACTGGGCCCCTCCCTATAGAAAGAACCTGAAGGAAATTACTGGAGAACCCTTAATTCCTTCTTTTAATCCAATTACCCCGCAGCTAGCCCAGACCAGAGAAGTCTTCCATCCTCTGAGAAAAAATCCAGCAAAACCAAAGGTGAAGAAAAGGAATTTCGGGGGCTGGAGTCATAGCACAGCGGGTAAGGCATTTGCCTTGCAGGCGGCTGACCCAGATTCAATTCCCAGCATCCCATATGGTCCCCTGAGCACCGCCAGGAGTAATTCCTGAGTGCATAAGCCTGGAGTAACCCCTGTGTAGCGAGATGCGACGCCCCTCCCCCCCAAAAAAAAGGAAGAAAGAAAAAAAAAGGAGTTTCAAAGGTCACATCCAACTCTACCCACTTAGCAACAACCCTAGCAATGAACTCTTGTCTAGGTAGAAACCCCCTATGTAACAAGTATAATTAGCCACCTTGAACAAAGAAAGGGTGTGCATAAGCTGCCTTTTTTTGGGTGGTCAGGCCCAGGATGCACAGGGGTTACTCCTGGCGGTTCTCAGGAGACCATATGGGATGCTGGGAATCGAACCCAGGTCGCCTGCATGCAAGGCGAACGCCCTACCCGCTGTGCTATCACTCCAGTCCGCATCTCCCCTCTTGCAATGTGTACTTTCATACTTTTGTGTCTAATGCTGAGATACCTGTCGGGGCTCTCTCTGACCTTGGAAAAGCCCACTTTCTCTCTTGAGCAATTACTCTCCAGTCTCTCCCACTTTCTCTTCCTCCTCGCCTTCAAAACCTCCAAATAAAATCTTTTACTTCACTGCTCGTCTACTCTTGAAATTGCTTTCTGTGAGGTAAGACAAGAACCCAGTTACCCTGGGTCCTGGGTGGCAGAGGATTGGGAGAAACTGACTTTCTCCTCGGAGCTTCACATAGTCACCAGAGAAACCCACCGACATCAAACCCACCTCTCCAGCTGTCAATCTCCGTTCATAAAGCGTTGTCGTGAACCGGTGTCCAAATACCGGCATTCCCGGTAAAAGTTGAAAGTGACCCTGTTATTGGTCGATTGGCTCGAGCAGGCCCCAGTAGGCCCCAGTAACGTCTCCTTCATCCTAGCCCTGAGATTATATTCAAGGCTCTTTAGGAGAATGAGACCCATCATTGTTACTGGTATTTGGCATATTGGGTACGCCACGGGGAGTTTGCCAGACTCTGCCGTGTGGGCAGGCTACATTCCATAGCCTGCAAGTATGTCCAAAGTAGGAATGAGATAATAAGATGTCATAAAAAATGACCCTAGTGTCAGCTAAACACAGGAGGGCATCAAGGCTCTCCTTAGAAATACCCATGCAAATAATCAATTATCTGACGACTTCCCGACGGGACTGGTTTTAAAATCTAAGATAGGGCATGTGCGCGCTCCCTCCCTCTTTGGGGGGCAAGAGCCGGGGGTGCTCAGGGCTTACCCAGGCTCTGCACTCAGCTCGGGGCAGCAGACAGAGTGCTCGGGACTGAGCCTGGGCCGGCCACGTGCAAGCAAGCGCCCCGCCCGCTGCTGGGTTCTTTCCGACACGACGTTCCTTACTCCATCCCGAGGGTCAGGCTCGGTCTGACTTTTCAGCTTCCCGATACGCGAGTACGACAGGCACCCGGGCTTGCTCCCTGGACGCGGGCCCGCACCCCGCCAGCACCAGCGCACTAATAAACGACACAACTGCAATTTGCGAGCGCCAAGACGCAACCGGTGCAGGCTGCACCCCGGCACGAACTCCGCGGAGCGGTCCAGAGCGAGACCTCGGAGAGAGAGTTGCAGGGGGTCGGGCGCTGGCTTTGCAGGCGGCTGACCCAGGTTCGATCCCCGGCGCCACTTGTTCGATCCCCGGATCCCCCCAGGAGTGACCCCCTGAGCACGGCCGGGTGACCCAAGAGAGAAACTTGGGTGCTCCGGCCGCACAGAAAACCGCTCGGACCCCAGACGCCCCAGTCTCGGCTATCCCGCCGCGCCTGAGCGCGCTCGGGGGCTCGGCCCTCTGCTCGCCGCGCCTGAATGCGCTCGGGGGCTCGGCCCTCTGCTCGCCGCGCCTGGCCCCGCCCCGCCTCGCCCCGCCCCGCGCCTGCGCACTACGGCCCCTGCCCGCCGCCGCTGCCGGGATCGGGAAGTGTCAAGCGGCCACTGGGCCCCCCGCCTCCGCCCGGACCGCCGCGGACCCCGGAGCCTGTCGTCGGGCCCGGGCCCCGCCGCCATGACGAACGGTGAGCGCTGGTGCCGGGGGCGCGGGTCGGGGCGGAGACGTGGCGGGCGGGGCCCGCTCTGACGTGGCCCTTCCCTCCGCCCCCTCCAGCCCGGCCCCCCTGGGCCTCTGGGCGCCCCCGGTCCGGGCGCCCCCGAGCCTGCCCGTGCCCGCTCGGCGCCCGCCGGCCTCGGGGCCCGAAGCTGGGCCTTTTCTTTCTGGACCTTCGTCCTGGGGAGGGCAGTGCCCACTGGAACCGGCGCAGAGAGAGCGCCTGCCCCCCCCCCCAAGCCCCCCGGCGATCTCAGCCCTCCCCAGCGCGGGCTCGCTTCCGGGGCGCCGGACCTCGGGGGGCGCTCCCCGGCCCGCACTCTCCGGCCGCAGCGAAGGCGGAGCCCAGCATAAGTTCTCCTGGTTTTGCAAAGTCTCGCCTGAGTGACCCGGCCCAGACCCCCTCGAGGGGTGTAAGGGGGGGCTGCTTTTCGACGCCGCTTTTCCTGCGGAAGGGCAGTTACTGGGGCCCGTGGGGGAGGACGCGCGTGCCCCGCACGTAGCTGACTGGGGTGCCACCCACCCCACCTCCGAGTCCTGCCAGGAATGATCCCGAGCACAGAGCCGGGAGTGAGTCCGGAGCGCAGCCCGGGTGTGATGCAAAAACAAAAATCCACAGAACCAGGACTTGCCAGCGGTCACGGCCACGGCCATGGCGCTCCCGTTGTTCATCGATTTGCTCCAGCGGGCCCAGTGCCGTCTCCATCGTGAGACTTGTTGTTACTGTGTTTGGCATCTCGAATAGATCGCAGGGAGCTTGCCAGGCTCTCCTGAGAGGGGCGGAGGAATCGAACTCGGGTCCCCCAGGTTGGCTGCTTGTAAGGCAAATGCCCTACCGGCTGTGCTATCGCTCCAGACCCCCTGGCTCTGTTCTTGGAATGTCACTCCCATCAATACTGGGGGACCATGGAGTAATGGGCATCAGACCTGTCGCACCCACATCTACAGCATGTGATCCAGCCTGTTACACTACCTTCCTGGCCCGCTTTTTTGGGGCAGGAGCAATAATACAGCGGGTAGGTCGTTTGCCTTCTACACAGCTGACCCCAGATCACTCACTGGCACCCTGTATTGTCCCCTGAGCCTGGCCAGAAAGAACCCCTGAGTATACAGCAAGAATTAGGCCTTGAGCACTCTAGGTGTGACCTCAAAACCAAAAATAAAAATAAACGAGAATCTGTGGACTGAAGAGATAGTAACAGTAGGTGAGATTCACCTACTCATTGGCTCAGGGGACCATACATGGTGCTTGGGATTAAGCCCTAGTAGACCACTTGCAAGGCAAGCACCCTTCCTACTGTACTATGGCTCTTTTGGGGGAGGCCATCTGTGGTTGTTCCCAAGGGCTATTTGCTGAGGGATGCCCTGATGGTGCACAGTTATTTCAGGGACTGTGGTGCTGGGATTTAATTCAGGGATTCCACATGAGCTGAAGCCCTTTAAATCATCTCACCAACCTCACATTTTTTTTTTCTTTTTGACCAGATTCAATGCTCTCGGAGGTCAGTTTTGGGGATATGGGAGTTCCATGCAGTGCTACGGAGAGAACACAGACTCTAGCATCAAAGCATGTGCCCAGCCCTAGCTCTTTGCCTTAACATATTTTCACGAGCAGATGAAGATCTCAGATACGTGGTGAAAATGCCAGACTTTCCTTTATCACATGAGTGATTTACAATAAGAAGAATACATAGTTCACATCCGAAAGGTGTTTTTGTTTTGTTTTGTTTTGTTTTGTTTGCATAGGGAATTGGCAGAGAGTCTTTGGACCTCACCCAGCTGTGCTCAGGGCTTTCTTCTGGCTCTGTGCTTAGGGATCACTATAGGGAGCTGGGAATTGAACTGAGGTCAGCTGTGTGCAAGACAAGCACCCTACCTATGCTGTACTATCTCTGCAGTCTCAATTCCAAAAATGCGTAGACTTCTCAATCTTTTCCCATCCCTAGCTGTTCTTGGGCTGGAGCGATAGCACAGTGGGTAGGGCGTTTGCCTTGCACGCAGCCAACATGGCCAACCCGAGCTCAATTCCTCCACCCCTGTGGGAGAGCCCGGCAAGCTACCGAGAGTATCTCACCCGCACGGCAAAGCCTGGCAAACTTGGGTCAGCCAGGTCGACAATATATACACAATATATACACTATATACACTACCTGTGACATATTCGATATGCCAAGCACAATAACAACAAAGTCTCACAATGGAGACTTGACTGGGCCCGCTTGAGAAAATCGATGAACAACGGGAGGACAGTGACAGCTATACTTAGGAGACTGATTTCACTAACTCCTAGCACTTTCCCCAGGATTATAGTTTTTGAAAGGTACAGACACACAGTGAAATGACTCGACAGATATCTGCAAGCAGTTTTGGGGAACAGTCATTTAAGCGGATAGCCCCAGGGCCTTGGCTATGTGCTGTCAAGGGCTGGTACGCAGGCAAGTGTCCCATCTTGCTAGTATCACACACTCTTCTTTCCTTGGTGCTCCCATGTGGGTTTCACCTGTCCCAGCCAGACCCCCAGCAAAGATTTTCTTTTTTTTAACAGTGTACTCCTTGGATGGGATTCTGGTGTTTGGTTTGCTCTTTGTTTGTACCTGTGCCTACTTCAAGAAAGTACCTCGTCTCAAAACCTGGCTGCTATCCGAAAAGAAGGGAGTCTGGGGTGTGTTTTACAAAGGTAAGGTAATATCAGGATAGGACAGGGGATTTCCATCTCCGGGTGGGGAAGTACAAAGGGAGGTGTGGGGGGGGGGGAGAAGGTCTATTTCTGGGTCTGTGCTCACAGGTCACTCCAGGAGGTGCTGAGGGGACCAGGAGGTGCCAGGGAAGACTCTTTTTAGTTTTAGTTTTACTGTCTCAAATGCTTTTTAACCTTTTATTTTGGGCAACTTCAGCTGAAATCCTATCTTCTAAAATTTTTCAAAATACGGCATAATGTAAGCCAACAGCATGCTCGCCTGGAACTTAGAGATTAAAGGTAGTATTTTTTGGTGGGCTTTGGGGCCACAACGTGATGCTCAGGGCTTACTTCTAGCTCTTGGCAGGGCTCAGGTGACCACATGCAGAGCTGGGGAGTGAACCAAGGCAGCTCTGTGCCAAGCAAGCGCCTTACTTGCTCTAGCATCTCTCCAGTCTTCAAGGTGGTATTGCAGTTCATTTGTGGATAGGTTTTGCATGTGGGGAAGGAGCTCCCAAACAGTACTTAGCAACCCAGGGCTGCTCCCAGGGATTTTCAGCCAGTCCATGTTATGGTTCGATGCTAGGGCCCCACAGTGCAGTAGTGTGTGAGCTGCTCAGATCTGGGGTGCCCAGGACCACCAGGGCCATGCCAGCAGTGTGAGGGGCCCTCACTTGAATAGATTCTTGATTAAATATATATATAGCACTGTAGCATTGTCCTCCCATTGTTCATCAATTTGCTCGAGCGGGTCCAGTAACATCTCCATTGTAAGACTTGTTGCTGTGTTTGGCATATTGAATACGCACAGGTAGCTTGCCAGGCTCTGCCATGTGGGTAGTATACTCTCGATAGCTTACTGGGCTTTCCGAGAGGGGTGGAGGAATCAAACTTGGGTCAGCCGGGTCGACAATATATACACAATATATACACTATATATATATATGTATATACAATATATACACTATACATATATAGATAGATAGATAGATAGATAGATAGTGTGGATTTTGGACCACATCCAGCGGTGTTCAGGGCTTACTCCTGGCTCTGCACTCAAGGATCATTCCTGGCTGGTTCAGGGGATCATCCAGGGTGCTGGGAACCAGCCCAGGTTGACTGCTTCCTAGGTTTTGTCATCTTTGATCTTACTTTAGCTTGGTGCTTGGGCCACTCTCTGCAGTGCTCAGGGGCTGCTCCTGGCAGTGTTAGGGAAACGTGGTGTGGGGAATCCAACAGCAGCAATCTGCATGTAAAGCATGCACTCGGCCCCTTGAATTCTTCTCTGGCTCCCGTGACTAGAGATTTTAAACTATCACTTTGAAAATGGAGACTCTTTTCAGTGTGTGTGTGTGGGGGGGGGGGGGGGGCGGGGGCCAGAGAGAGAGAGAAAATGAAGACTCCGAAGGACAAGATATGATTTTTCTTTCTGCTTCTTCCCGGCAGCCGCAGTGATTGGAACCAGACTGCATGCTGCCGTGGCAATTGCTTGTGTGGTAATGGCCTTTTATGTCCTGTTCATAAAATGAATTCCAAAGTGTCAGTCTCAACAACCGCCAGTCAAGGGGACAAGAGCAAAGAACCAGTCGACGGCCAGAGTGCAGCCTAGAAGAGTTGAGATAAAATCCTCATAGTCCCCAGGATGATGCCGCAGCACCTGCTCCTAATATTTGTGGGGGGAAATTCCTCATGGTTACATTATTATTTATGCTTCAGGGGATCCCAGAAAGCCAGCTTCCTTTGGCCTGTGTATAAATCCTTGGCAGAGAGCATAAAATGCCCAGATAAATCACATCATCCGGTGATAAGATTGCATACTTCCTGCTTAAAAACCTGTCACCTGATTTTGTTCTTTCAGCTCTTCTTCAGAATCTTTGTAAACTGAGGCTCCTTAGGGAAGGATATAGGTGTGTTCAAACCTTTTGAAAGGAGAGAGAATTTACAGGATAATTTGTGTGTGTGTGTGTGTGTGTGTGTGTGTGTGTGTATGTGTATGTTTGATTTGGATTTGGCACATTGGGAGCTGGGGGTGGAAAACAAGTTAGGAAGATGCCAAGAAATTTTCTGGCTTTGGAACTTGATGCCATGTGGGAACATAAGAGGCACAGTGCTCGCTGCCGGAAGAGAACAGATGACATGCTCTGCTGTGTGCTGGCAGTCTATAAGTTGTGCAGAAAGAACCTGGGCCTCCATAAGACTGGAAGTTACTTTTCTGTAATGAGACCAGAAGGGAAAAACTTACAAAGACAAGGTTCACCAGTCTCCCCCCAAAGATGACTTCAATCAAACAGTCTGAGGAAAATGAACCTACTCTTTATTTCCTTTTTCTAAGTTTTCTGAATTACAGAGTTCTGAATACAGTCAGTTTTAAATGTCACCACTCGGGAAAGAGAAAGTATTGAAAAAAATAATTGTCTAATATATTTGCTTGTAGAGTAGTGGAAATAAATATACTAGTATATTAATTCATATACTAGTAAGTTCATCTAGTATAAAAATATTGTGTTGTAAGATGTTTTTCAAGATACACACTTAATCTTTGTTTAAATTGGTTTGTTAAGGCAATTTTTAATTGATGACTTGTTTTTCTAAGTGTACTTTTTCTTTTCTTTTCTTTTTTTTAAGGAGAGAGCTTAGGGGCCACAGCTGCCAGTGTGCAGGGGCTACTCCTGGCTTTGTGCTCGGGTAGCACTCCTGGTGGTGATCAAAGGCCTGGGTATATGTGGTGCTGGCAAATTGAATTGGGGTCAGTGGCATGCAAGACAAGCGCCTTAACCCCTGTACTATCTCTCTGACCCCTAGGCCAACTCTTAGTTCTCTTTGATGACAATACTCTTTAAGAGCTGTTGAAAATAGAAATTCTGTTTGTTTTAAGAACATGAAAAAATCAGACTGAGCAAGAGAAGTCACTGATATTCATAGGCATGATTGCACAGGTCATAAAATCCATAAATAAAACGAGGACAGAGAAAAATAGAGGCTTGCAACTGAGATTGAAACATTTGTCCAGAGAGTATGATAACTCCTAGACAACTCACTTTAGAAGGAAAGACTTCTCCATTTCTTCCTATACTTGCAAGAGGTTGTTACATTTACAAAATCTAGAATTTTTTTTTTTTGCGGGGTCGGGGGGCACACCTGGCTCAGGGCTTACTCCTGGCTTTGCATTCAGGGATCACTCCTGGCAGGCTCAGGGAACCATATGAGGTATCAGGATCAAACCCAGCTTGGCCACGTGCAAGGCATGTACCCTACCCATTGTGCCATCTCTCCAGCCCTTAAAACGTAGAATTTTTTTTAAGAGTTGGTTTCATATCAGATTATTATGAAAAGAAAACATAGACACAGGTCTGCCAATAAAGTTCCTGTCCATTAAACTTGACTGAGGACTGTTAGCTGCGGCTAGTACCTGTGGCAATAAACTATCTTTTGTCTTACTCTGAAAGAAGAAAACTGCTCCAAAGTTTAGATTCTGACATAGGCAGTTTAGTGCCTTGAGGATTCCTAGTAGCATAGAAAGTCACCAAGTAAACACTACATGTTTAATCATCTCTTCAGGAATTGATCCACAGGGTAAAGTTGCCACAATTCACTGTTTTCCATGGTCATGTCTAAGGATCTTTCACGTGAGAGAAAGGAAGTTGAAGGGGATGGAAAGAGTTACACTTTGTGGGTGTAAATTTGGGACCTGGTGACCAAAGGGAATGTAACCCCCTAAAAATGCAGGTTTTGCACTTGTTATTTTGTAGCTTTAAAGACTCATTTTCTAATAGAGCTGATATGATTAAGCTGATGCTTAGGACTGTTTGATATTTTTAAATGGACACCATTTCACAGTTCTAGTTCAAACCAACTTCAAGTTTCTTGGGTTATCGTGACTTACACTCTTGAATTGTTAAATTTTAAGATGTTTTCATACCAAACTACCAAAACGTGCAGAGTGAAGGTAATTTGAAGCAGGAAGCTGTTTCATTTCTTGACTTTATGTAAGCAGATAACCTGTTTTAACTCATTACTTCGATGTGTCATATACTTTTGACTGAAAGTATAGGAAGTTGTTCCTTTGGGGGAGTCTTTTAGGAGTAGAGAAATGGGGACAGCAATAATGCCTCGGATTCAAACTGGCATCGTCATAAATCTTGTATGTCAGGGTAGAATGAAGTGAGCATTTTATAGTTGAAATACAATTTTTATTCCTCATTGTCTGTACAAATCCTTGAAAATAAAAATCTGTTTTCCCTATTATTACTGTCCATTTGTTGGTCATGTGCTGAATTTATTGAACTTAGTTCAGTACTTTGGGTTCTGCCCCCCAAGTATACCTTTATCCACATTAAGTGAATGCCATCAGGCCTTACGATGGTCACACATTGTCACTACGAGGTAGTTGCTTCTTCGTTCGGGGGAGCCGGTGTGTGTGCATCTACCTGAAAACTCTGTAGACGGAGTTACCTTATGCCTAGAACTTGTATCGAAGGTCAAAGAAAAACGAGATAATACACTAAAGAGGCAGTTTAGCTACTCGGATAAAAAGACAGCCTGGACTCCAGATTGGAGGATTTGTCCCACCTTCCTGTGCGTCCCGAATTCCCCTCTGAGCCTGGCGGGGGCGCTCTCGGTCAGGTTGGTTGTGGGGGGGGAAAGGAAGCGAGCCCGCGCTCTATGGTTCTTCCCAGAGTCCTTTGCGGGGCGGACGCAGGGGCTTTAAAGGCGGGCGCGACTTCCGCTTCCTGCGGGGGAGCGCGGCCTGGGGCGCGGCGGCTGTGCTTGGTCCCGAGGTGTGGCGTGGAAGGCGCGTGTGTGTGTGCGCGCGTGTGTGCGTGTGTGCGCGCGAGCGTGTGCGTGCAAGGCGAGTGCGTGCGCCCGCCCCTGCGCCCTTCCCCCGCCTACACCTTGATCTTATTTGATCGGGCCGGGACCCCCGCCCCGCCGGGCCCGCCCGAGATGAGAAGCCGTTCCTCCCGCGAAGCCCGGCCGGGCGCTGTGCGGCGAGGCCTCTGTGGGCGGCGGCGGCGGCGGCACCGCGGCCCGGGCGCTCCCGGAGCCGCCCCGCGGGGCCCGGTGCTCAGACGTGATGAATTGATCAGATAGACGAGGCCGGGCGCGTCCCGGGCCGCTGAGTATCGAGGCGATTCTGATCTGAGCGGGCCGCGGGGGAGGCAGAGGCCAGGGTGACCGAGGCCTGTGCGCCCGCCGCCGCGAATTCGTCCTCCCCTTCCTTTTCGCCCTAGGTCGGGCTCGGGTGATGAATGCATGGTGCCAACATTGGCACCCGCGGATGGGGATGGGCATGGGCATGGGGGAGGGGAGGGCGGTCAGTGCACGCCCGGCGGGGCCCAGAGCTTACTCCTGGCTCTGGCCCCTAGAGTACCCGTTAATGTAAAGGCAGTAACACTGCGTGCGCCACTAAGGTTATATATGTTCGTGTGTGTGTGTGTGTGAGAGTTTGTAGTAGTTCACATTCCGGGTACCCGTCCCAATTTACTGATTTAGGATCACCCGGTAGGTCTAAGAACCACTTTTTTTTTGGGGGGGGGGGAGGGTATTGTTTGGGTCACACCCGGCAGTGCCCAGGGGTTACTCCTGGTTCTGCACTCCGGAATTTCTGCTGGCAGTGCTTGGGGATCCATATGGGGTGCTGGGACCCGGGTCAGCTGCATCCAAGGAAAACTCCCTACCTGCTGTACTATCACTCTGGGAACAAAGAACCGAGCTTTTTTTTTTTTAAAGCTGCACTGCATGCACCCTGATACTTTTTGATGTTCAGTATTTATTCAATAGTGCATATGCTTTCCAAACTTAATGGGGATTTAGCTAGGGATATAGCTCTGCAGCATTGTACTTGTCTTATGTATGAGTCCCTGGTATTTCAAAAAAACTGGGGACAAGGGCAAGGCAGTGGTGAAGCTTCTGGTTCACTGTGAAGCCCTTGATTCCACGGCACACTGCACCCAAAGGGAACGTAGAGAATGTTGTAAAAAGTGGGCTACCTCCCCCTTGTCCATTCAAATAGCAGGTTCTTATTTCCCCCTTGTCCATTCAAATAGCTGGCCTTTACAAGAACTTGGCCTTACTGAGCTCTCTCTTACCCTCATCTACATGTTATTTTTTTTTTTTGCTTTTTGGGTCACACCTGCCAATGCTTAAGGGGTTACTCCTGGCTCTACACTGAGCAATTACTCTGGCGGTGCTGGGGGGACCATATGGGATACCAGGGATCAAACCCAGGTTCACCACATGCAAGGTGGGTGCGCTCCCCAACTGTACTATTGGCTCTGACTCCATCTGCATTCTTTTAAAATGTATTTTCAACTCCAGGACCTTACTATTGAGTCGTTAATAAGAAACAAGGCTGATTGGGGCAGGAGCCATACCTTGCATGTGGCCAACCTAGGTTCAACCCCCGACACCACAGAGCCCCCTTCAGCCCAAACAGGAGTGATGATCCCTGAGCACCACCAGTTGTGGCCCCCCTCAACAAGACTGAACGGGAAAAGTCTGTATAGGAGGATCGACTCTGGTAAAATAGAAATACCAGTTTCTTGGCTCAGTGCTGTTACATTTCTAAGTCCTGATATTTTCAGCAAGATGACTTTCCAACTTGCAAATAATGCCCAACAGGACTAGTTCTTAGAAATTGGAAAACTTGGGTCGGAGTGATAGCACAGCGGGTAGGGCATTTGCCTTGCACGCGGCCGACCCAGGTTCAATCCCCGGCATCCCATATGGTCCCACGTGGCCCCAGCACCCCAGCACCACCAGGAGTAACCTCTGAGCATCGCTGGGTGTGACCCAAAAAGCAAAAACACGGAAATTAAAAAACTTCCTATCCATATTATAAGGGTAGTCAAATGACAACGTGTAGTCCGTGAGAAAGATACTTGGGGCTAGGTCCCACGGGTCAGTTTAATGGAAGGGGCAGCAGGATATGACATTGCGGTTACTTAGTCCAGGGACCCGTCAGCGCTAGGTGGAGAAGAAGCCGCCATCATTTTTTCGGGAGTAGCCTCTGTTTGTGGCTGCAGTGTGAGGGGACACTGGAGGAGAGAGAAGGGAGCAGGCTGTGAATTTCAGATCCTTGGCTTTGGGAGTCTGATCACTCAGGCTGATGAGTGGGCACGAGTCATTCTTTCTGGACACTTGGTGAAGGTTCTTAGAACAGCTGGGAATCGAACTGACCGTGGACTGGTGGGCAGGAGCTCTGGGCTTTCAGCCTCCAGTTTTCTGCCCTGTGGCTGGCAGTTTTTGTTCCCTGGACGTAAGCCTGCTGGAAGTGACTTCATTTCATAGCTCTGCATGTCCCCTGGTATAAGGCTCGTATGTGTCTCTTATCACTGCAGTTCTAATCCTCTTACGTGCCCTATGTTCCCCATCAGCCAGCTGCCTGTTTCAGATTCAGTTAGACAATCTTGCCCAATCCGTCTGCCCTCCAGTGTTCTGACCCTTACCTATGGACCCCTGGATACTGTGGATGCATTCCTTCTTGGGGTTCACCCACTGTCTGATGTTATCTCGGGTAGTGACAAAGGCTTGTGGGGTCTGGACTGGCTGTTCTTCAGGGGCTTGCAGTCTAGATGACGGTGTGCTGAAGGGGAAAAGGGGAATAAAGTCGGAGAAAAGACAAGGAGGAAAGTGGCCACATGAAACCCCATGCTTACAAAGGCCCTTTGCAACCTTCTGGAATTTATGCGAGAGTGTTTCTGGCACAGTCCTGGAAGATTTTCAGTTTAGACAATAAAAACAAGATGCAGAGGATCTCAAAACCTTAGGGCTGTGCAGAGCCCCTTAGAGTGAGGCTGCCTGGGTCACTACAACATACATGCCTTGAGACCACCTGGACAAGAGTTTCCCAACAGACTTGTCCCCACTGTGGCTCCCTGGAGAGCCCCTATGGGGAGCGGGACAGACAAGCCAGGTGGTCTCCTCTCGCTGGTGCTCTTTTCTGCAGTGTGGTGGGAACTGAGTTCAGACACGGGTGCAGCCACCCAAGCTGGCTCCGTGTTCAAGTAGTTTTTAATCCAGGGAGCATCTGCCTACTCAGTTTTGTGCGGAATGACCCACTCTGGGTCCCCCCTCACCTTTTCCCAGGCTCTGCCCCACCCAGAAGCCCTTGCTCCGAGCTGCTTCTCTGGTGGTCTGGGAAGCTGATGGTTGAGACCCTTTGGCTGTGGAGGCTGGACACCCCGAGACTCACTGCCATGGAGCTCCAAGTTGGCTGGTAGTGCCCCCGTCTACCCTGGGCATCAGGACCTTTCCCCAAAGGGATGCAGTCCAATGGTTTTCTGGGATGGGAATGTGGGAGAGGGACTCATCACTCCCCACCCTCACCTTCAGGACAGAAGAACGGAATGAAAGCATCTGAGCATTGAAAGACCAGAGCTACAGGACAGGAAGTAAGGTGCTTGCCTGGCATGCAGCCAAACAGGGTTCAATCCCAGCACTGAATATTAACTCCCGAGCACCCCAAGGCAGGGGGCCGGGAAAATAGCTCAAAGAGCTAGTGTGAATGCATTGCATGCTGGCCTTCTGGCTTGATCCCCAATATTGCATTGTCCAAGAATCACTGGGAATGACACCCCCACCTCCCCATCCTGAACAAGTAGCTCTTGAGTATTATGTATGATTCACAAAAATGAAGCAGGGCCAGGGAGATAGGTCAAAGGGCTGGAGCACATGCATGCTTGCTGGAGGCCCAGGTTTGGTCCCTGGCACTACGTGGGCCTCTGAATGGGGATGTGAAACCCTACCCCCAGTCTCTTGCTGGGAATAGCCCCAGAGTGAGTACCGCAGGGTCAGCCCCTCCCCATCAATGTATAAGTGTGGGGGGGGGGGGAGGGGGCGGGGAATGTACCTGTTGATTTGCTATTTCTCAGGTGACAGTTGATCTTATAAAATTGAGGGGGAACTTCCTTAGGGTGGCAAGGCTCTGGCTTGTTACCTTTGGGTACTCTGGACAGTCTCCTTTTGAAGAAGTATCTCACATTTGTTCTTGAATGCCCCAGAGTGGTGATCATATAAGGCTGCTAATCGGAAATCCAGGTCATCCTTTGGTACCTGTAAAGGAAGTCAGCCTCTCAAGCCCCACCTTCTCCCAGCTCTCATTAATTTCTATTGGGCTCTATTCCTTCCCCAAAGGTAGAGTGAACCCCATTTGGTCCTCAGATCCACCATACCCCATACTAAATTATCCATAGATAGTGATTTCTTAACACTTGTCAAGAGCGTACTACCTCTCGGTTGGATCAAATCACGTGAGCTTCACTGGAGGTGGCGGAATCACCATGTGGTCCCTGATTTGGACTTAATTGGGCCTTACCTCAATCACGGTTGTCATCAGAAGAGTGAGGAGTCCGGTGAGAAAATGATTTGTTCTAGATAACTCTGGAAGGAGCAAACTCCTGTCTTCCCAGAGGCCAGAGAAATTGATACCTGGTTTTACATTTGGTAGATTCTTGGATTGGGACGAAAGGGAAGAAGATGCTGAAGCAGTCAGGGACAGACTCTTGCAAAAAGGATATTAGCAAGTCCTAATATCCTTTATTAGGATGCAAAGAGAGGTAACGGGAAGTAGCATTTCAATGCTAGGTACCTCGAGATCAAAAAACCAAATACCCCGTCGCATGGAGGTGATTGTGGGAGTAGAGTTGAGCCGGTCCCATGGTTCCTGGTACTGAGTGAAGTGAGTTGGGTTCTTAGGCGTTTTCTGCAAAAGTGAAACCACATTCAGAATGGGATTGCAGGAACACTTGCTGAGAAGGTTCCTTGAATGTCATCCATCCCTGAGGCCCATTGTACCATCGTTGAATGTGAGAGGAACATCCATGAAGAGAAGGCAGGCAGGAGACAAGACTCTGCAACAGCTGAGCTCCTAAGTCTTCAATCTAGAACTTTCAAAATGGGCCAGGAGGAACCAGTACAGCATGTTGGGTGCTTGCCTTGTATGTGGCTGACCTGAGTTCAATCCCCAACATCCCCTATGGTCCCTGAGTGATCCCTGAACATCACCAAGTGTGCCCCCTCCCCCCAAACAAAATAAAAACAAAAGAAATGGGCAAGGAATAAAGAGAAAGGGTGGAGTGGAACAAGAGGCAAAGCCTGGAGGGCAGCTAGGAACTCTGGCAAATTCTGGCCTAGGTGTCCTGAGTTTGAGAAAAAGATAAGACATCCTTTTGACTGGCACTGCCAAGGACTAATAAGATATCCTAATGCAAGTAGATAGAAAATCAGGTAGAAAGTAGGAAGTATACATACAAATATGGCTTTTATTTGGTTTGTGTTTTGGGTCAAACCTGGTGATAAGAAGATGCTTCTTGCTCTTTGGGGTGGGGAGGAGGGAAACCATGTGGTGCCAGGGCACCCCAGAGGGGATGGACTCACCCACCCAAAGAGACCCAGCAGCCCTGAACCTCCAGAAAATCCCCAGAACTTATGCTCAAGGTCGATCTTCACAGTCCTTTAAATAACTCCCCCAAGCATGAATATGAAAAGCATACGATTGATCGCTTTGTTACAGTGAAATTTCATATTGCCTTCCCTATACCTATCATAGTGACCCAACACATGGGACTCAAAAATGAAATATCAGTTGAATCAAAGAGTGATTGAATCAGATTAATGGAATTGAATCAGTTGAATCAAAGTTCCAGTGAATACAACTACAACTGAGTGAAAATCTCAGCAAACCAACCTCATAACAGAACCCCTAGATATCAGAGGGCTGGATGGCTCTGTTCAAGTAAACATTGACAGGTTTTGTGCTACCACCAAAAGAGATGAAAAGAAAGTGTTAAAAACTCATGATTCAGAGACTCACAAATAAATCTCAGAAGCAATCATCAAGCTGTACAGATGCCTCCAGACCCTGTGCCAGGCTGAATCTCATTTCTGGAGCATCCCAGAGGGGATGAATGGAGGATTCACCCAGCCAAACAACCTGCACAGCCAAAACTCTCCAGAACGCAATCATCGCCATGTTCACGGCTGATCTCCACAGGCTTGAACAAGCCTCATCCGTGAATGAATCCATTGAAAACCTCAGGTATGCAGGTTTTGTGACTAAAATCTCCAGACTCTCACGGAGTCAGGGATGGGAGACCTTCCCCCATCCCCTTGTTCTTCTGGGAGTGTGGCATTCATGCCCACGAATTGCCTCTGGCTCCATATAAGCTTAACTGGCCATGATCCAGAGATTCACAAATAAATCTTGGAAGAGATCAACAAACTTCAGAGATGCCTCCAGACCCCAAAGTCAACGTTCAGTTAAAAATTTACCTCCACCCACATCCAAAAGAATAAAAGCAACCGGTGTTGGTGCAGATGTGGTGAGAAAGGGACCCTCCTTCACTGCTGCTGGGAATGCCGACTGGTTCAGCCCTTTTGGAAAATGATGGATGTTTGGACGATTCTCAAAAAATTAGAAATTGAGCTCCCTTTTGACCCAGCAATACCACTCCTGGGAATATATCCCAGAGAGGCAAAAAAGTACAGTTGAAATGACTTCTGCACTTCTATATTTATTGCTGCACTGTTCACAATAGCCAAAAGATGAAAAAAAAACCCGAGTGCCTGAGACCAGATGACTGGTTAAAGAAACTTTGGTACATCTACACAATGGAGTACTATGCAGCTTTTAGAAAAGATGAAGTCATGAAATTTACATACAAGTGGTACTACCTGGAAAGTATCATGCTAAGCGAAATGAGTCAGAAAGAGAGGGATAGACATAGAAAGATTGCATTCATCTGGGGAACATAAAGTAACAAAATAGGACTAACACCCAGGAATAGCCGAGATAAGTACCAGGAGTTCACTCCATGGCTTGGAGGCCAGCCGCACATGCTAGGAGAAAAGGCAGCTCAGATAGAGAAGGGAGCACCAAGTAAAGGGTGTTGGGAGGATCCTCCCAGGATAGGAGATGCATGCTGAAAGTAGGCTATAGACCGAACGTGATTGCCATTCAGTGCCTCTTTTGCAAACCTCAGCAAACAAAAAGAGAGAGAGAACAAAAGGGAATGCCCTGCCACAGAGGTGGGGTGGGGATGGAGGGGATGGGGGGTGGGAGGGATACTGGGATCATTGGTGGTGGAGAATGGGCACTGGTGGAGGGATGGGTACTCGATCATTGTATAACTGAAACCCAAGCACAAAAATTTATAAGTCTATAACTGTACGTCATGGTGTTTCACAAAAATTAACTCCAGCTGAATCACCTAATTTAAAATTTTAGAATTCCTGGAGCACACAGCCACATTTGTGGCTACACAACTTCTCATACTCTTTACGAGTTGATGTACCAGGAGTAGCACATCACATTGGGTGGGATGTAGAGTAGAAGGTAGCCAATCTCGATTAAAAAAATATTAACACACAAGGTCAACCTGTAACAACATGTTAGTAATCTCATATAAGGGCTTAATGGCTCTAAGGTGAGCTGTAACAACCTTCACACACTTTCTTCTAAGGAAATCTTCTTTGATCATTTTTAGTGAGTTATTCATAACAAGCAGCACAAAAAAATAAATTATTTTGAGCCTGTTATTGGGGCAGTCTTGGGTGGTGGTTGGGAAAATTGTAAATAATGGTGGTAGGCGTGATGATGGTGGGATTGGTGTTGGAATATTGAATGTAATGACTTATTGTGGACAACTATGTAAAAATAAAATAAAATTTCAAAAATCGTGATTCAAGCAGAGGCAGCTCTCCTCCTCTTCCTCAAAGGTCCCTGAATGTCCCTGTTTTAGCAGCAGATTGATTTGATTGTTTTTTTTCTCAGAAAGTTCAGTTAAGTACAAAAATCTACTTTCCTTCCATCTCACACGAAGGAAGCATACTCCTCTTTCTTTCTCTCTCCTCTTTCCCTCTTTCCTCTCTCTTTTGTCTCTTCTCTTGTCTCTGTCTCTGTCTCTCTCTGTCTCTGTGTCTCTGTCTCTGTCTCTGTCTCTGTCTCTGTCTCTGTCTCTCTCTCTCTCTCTCTCTCTTCCCCTTCCCCTTATATCCCATAAGCCCAATCTTTTTCTTGTATGTCATCATCAGGCTGGTCCTTGCGGTCCTCAGTTTTTCTCTCTTCCTTTTTTTCTGTTTTTGATTTTGTGTCCCATTTGGCAGTGCTCAGGGATGACTCCTGGAGGGACTCATGTAGTTCCAGGATCAGACCCAGGTTAGTTGTGTGCAAGGCAAGCACCTTACCCCATGTATTATCTCTGGTGTTCTCTCTCTCTCTCTCTCTCTCTCTCTCTCTTCCTTCCTCCCTCCCTCTCTCCTTCTCTCTCCCCCCCCTCATTCTTTATCACTGTCTGGCTAGAATGGATCTTTCCCTACGGTGTTAACCTTATTCTGCTATGTCCAAATTCTGCTATTATCCAAATTCTGCTATGTCCTCTACCTCCTCACTGTGAAGTACAGTTACAGACTTTCAGACTTTTGTGATTCCATTTCAGTCATACAATGATTGAATACCCACCCCTCCACCAGTGCCCATTTTCCACCACCAATGGTCTCAACATCCCTTCCACCACCACCACCCCATCCCCCTTCCACCCCATGCCACCCCGCCTCTGTGGGAGTGCATTCCCTTTTGCTCTCTCTCTCCTTTTGGGTGTTGTTCTCTACCTCCTCTTGCCTTCTCCTTCTACCTTCTCCTGCCTATACAATCCGGCCACTGAGACCATTCTTGGTGACTCAGGGTCTTTGTGGCTAGGTCAGGTGGATCCTTTCCAGACTTGACCTTATTTTCCCTTTACAATTTCCGGCAGTGATTCTGGTCCATGAAATGTTCTCTCCATCCTCTGTGGGTCTGACTCCTGGTTTGCCTCCTGCTGTTACTTCTCAGCTCTGCCTTCTCTCTGCTCTCAGACAATGATTTTTTGCAATTCCTTCATTTCTGCTTTCTTGCTCTCATAATAACTGGATGGACTCATTTCTTCCTACTGCTGCGGGCCCAGAGCCTCCAGACGGACATCTTCAAGACAAAACTCTAAGCCACTTGCCCTTTGTCTGCCCGCAACATGTTGTTCTCAACATCTTTCTCCCCCAAACTGTTTCCACTGACTCTTCATTCAGTAAATGGTATCAATAAGACCCCCAGAATCCTAGGAGTTATCCCAGATTCAGCTCCTCCCTTAGGCTCACATCCAATCGCCAAGTCCCATTTATTCTGCCCTCTGTATCCTTCTCCCATCTGCATGGTCATTTCTTGCATTATGTTAGATCCATTATCATTCCTCCTGAGACAACTGCCTCCGGAAGCCCTGTTTCCTCGTCATCCCTCTCGTTGCACTTCCATCCTAGTCAATCCCCTGCCATTATGCTTTCTAAAATGTCCATCGTCTATAACACCCAGGCATCACTCCAGTGCTTAAATTCCTGGCATGGTTCCCAGTACCTGCAGAATGAAATTTAGCTCCGTTGCACTGGTGTCCAGAGCACACCCAGCCCATGAATGCTCTGCCAGCTCCCGCTCTCTCCATGGATGCTCCATACTCCAGCCATAGGGGATTCTGCCCCCAAACAAGGCTTTTTGTTTTGTTTTGGGGACACACCTCATGGTGCTCAAGGCATCTTCCTAGCTCTGTGCTTAGGGATCACTCCGGGTGTTTGGGGAACTATATGTGGTGGTAGGGATCAAACCAGGGCTGGACAAGGCAAGTACCTTAACGACTGTAGTATCTCTCCATTTCTCTTTTCTCCTACTTCTCCTTGTTTTTTTTTTGGGGGGGTAGGGGATATTAGGGCACATCCAGTTGTGCTCAGGGCTTCCTCCTAATGCTTAGGGATCACTCCTGGTGGGACTCAGATGACCATCTGGGGGTGCTGAGAACTGAACCTGAGTCAATCTCCTGCAAAACAAGTGCTGTACTCATTGTACTATCTCTCTGGCCTCTGTTTCCTTCTTTATAAGACACATTCCATCTTTTTCCTTACTGCTAATTCATATTTTCAGGTTGAGACACACATGTACTAGAAATTTTTCTTTGAGGTCCCAATTCTCAGAATATACTACTTAAAGTTTTTTCATAAAACATGAGTTATTGGGAAGCTTTATTTGGTGGGTGGGGTGGGGATTCACACCCAGCAGTGCTCAGGGGTTACTCCTGGCTCTGTACTCAGGAATCACTCCTGGAAGTGCTCGTGGGCCCATATGGGATGCTGAGATCAAACCTTGGTGGGCCACGTGCAAGATAACACTCTATGCTCTACCCACTGTACTGTCACTCCACTCCATGGGCAAGCTTTTTGCTTTTGTTTTTGTTTTGAGGCAATGTTAAGGGCTTACTCCTGGCTCTGTGCTCAGGCGCATCACTCCTGGCAGGGCTCGGGGGACCATATGGGGTGCCGGGTATCGAATCTGGGTTGGCAGTGTGCAAGACAAGTGCCCTATCCACTATTATCTCTCTCTGGCCCATGGGCAAACAATTTTTGCCGGTGCTGTAGTCCGTCCATCCCTTTTACGAGGATTTCTTGAGAATATGACTGTATCTGATTTGCTATATTTCTCAGTCTCTAGCAGGGAGTCTGGCATTATTATAGTGAGTAATAAATGAAGAAACAAAAGGTAAGCAGCAATTGTGATATGCGTAGTGAAAGTCCCCTGTGCCTTTGCACTAGAACTCGACTTCCCTCTGCTCAACATCCAAGCTGCGTGGAGATACAGAAGCAAGTAGCGAACAGTCATCTTCAGGACCTAACAGAGCGTCATCACCAGGGTTAAGTCACCGTCTCCGCCCATCTCGCTGCCAGGAAGAACAGCAGAGCGGTCCATCCTGCAGGGAAACCGGGAAGAAACCACACAATACCTTGGAAGTCTGCAAGTGAACCACATGGGCATCGCTGTCCTCTGTGGGGCGCTGGGATGGCTCTCGGGTGTGTGGCATGGTAAAACACACAGTGGGAGGCGCTCTTACAAGGCTGATGGCAGGCCCACACAACCTCACGCGCAGGGCCTAGGACCCCAGATGTTTGCGACGCCCAGAATGGGTTGCCAGGCAACTGCGATGCCATCTGTGACTGAGCTGAATTCCCTCGGAGAGGGGCTCCCTCTGGCGGTCCGACGCGGAAGGGCCCTTTGGGGACGCAAGGAGAGAGCGCGCGGGCGGCCAAAGGGACTCCCGAGCTACTGTAGATTTACACGCAGGAGCCTGAATTGCAAAACGTCGGCTTCCCGTCGCATAGGAAGACTTTTGCAGAAACTTCAGTGCAGGAAAGAAAATATCATAACATGACTCCAAAAGTTTTCTTGCATGGAACAAAAGGATTCTCCCCTCCCCCCGTCTCTCAAAAGTCACGACAGATGTCAAGAAGAGCCCACGTGCTGTGCTTGCAACGGTGCCACTTGCTTACACCTCGGTTTGTACGGACCCCCGAGCTTCGCCCAGAACTGGTTGTAGAGGCACGCATGGATTTAGCAGGACGGAAGTCAGATCTGCGACGGGGGGACCTCCAGTCGCTGAGGTATCCCCTGCTGGGGGTGGAGGGGGGGGGTCTTTCTTCCAGGACCCGGACCTCTCACTTCTAGAGAGGCGGCGATGCCAGTCTTCTGTGCCACACAGGAAGCACTTCACCTTTCTTGGGCGAACGCCACGTCTGCAAAACGAGGAGCGCTCCCGAGAAGTCCACGGCCCCGGACGGGTCGCGGGAAGATATGCACTGGACGGCGATGGCTGGGAAGAAATTTCTAGCGCCTTCTGGACGCGAGCCCCCGTTCGGACCCGTTGGGGGCCGGTGGCAGAACCCCCCGCGCGCGTGTCCTTGCACGGCGCCAGCGCCCGCGACGGCGGCGGCCCGGGCGCCCGGCAGGTGAGCGGCGGGGAAGCGCGTGGTCCCCGCCCCCGCCCCCCGCGCGCACCCAAAGGGGAAGCGGTTGCCAAGGCGACGTGGGTAGGAGGCGGAGGAGAGGCGAGAGGAGGGAGGCGCAAGGATGGGCGGCCTCGGCGGCGTCCCAGGGAGGTGACCGAAGCGAGCCCAGCCCCTTGCACCCACCCCCACCCCACCCCGTGAACCTCCCTCCCTCTTTCCCGTCCCCCACCTCCCCCATCCCCGCGCCTGGCCGCCGCCGCCGCACCTGAGCCGCCGCCGCCGCCGCCGCCCGCCCGGGACCGCGCGATGGCCCAGCCTGGGCGCAGCCTCCGTCCCCGAGCCGGGCGCTCGCTGCGGCTCCTGCGGCTGCTGCTGGGGCTCGGGGCCGCCTTGCAGGTGACCGGGGCCGCGGAACCGCAGCTCCACGCCTGCAAAGAGGTAATGTCCACGCCGCGCCGACTCCGCGGCGGGCGGGAGCGGGCAGGGCCCCGAGGCACGAGCCCGCGGCAGGGGCTCCGGAGTTGGGGTCTCTTTGGGGGGTGGGAGACCTGAGGGTGGGAGAGGGGGAGGCAAGAGGAGCCGAGGGGCGTCACGGAGGGACCAGCCCACTGCCAGACCCGGCAAACGGGTGCGAGAAAGGCTCCGCGGGAAGGGTCCGGCGCTCGGGCGCTCAGCGGGGACCTGGGTCCCCGGAGTCGGGAATGACGGAGGAGGAAGACACAGCTTGTTTTCCAGCATGGGTGGGTTTAAATGAACCCTGAAAAGTGGGTCCGAACAAACGAGAGGGTGTTCGGAGGGGCACAGACGAAGTGGCAAGTGGGGAGAACTGGGATGAGAAGGGAGTTTGGGAGGCTTGGGACAAGCGGTGGAGTCAAATCTTTGATCAGGACTTTTGAGGGGTGTGTGTTTGTGTGTGTGTGTGTGCGCCCCCCCCCCCCCCCCGCGCGGACAGGTGGCAGAGGGCAGGGGACCTGATCGATCATCTCTCTTCGCCCAGTGTCAGACACCCACCTGCAGGCCCAGGGCCAAGGGGGGAGCCTTTCCTACTTCTGCCTCCTACCTGGGCACTTGATTTAATGTTCGGGTGGGCTCACCACCCGTGTTTTCCTTTAAAACTTTATTTCCCACCAATCTCGACCCCCCTCCCGGGGGTTTCCACTGACATATGCCTTGAACTTTTTGCAAGGCTCTCCAGATAGGGGCTGACTGTCTTCCCATCGCAAATGCCTTTTGAAATGTTCTCTTTGGAGGGACATAGACAAGAAACAGAACCTAGTCGTTTTCCACATAATTGAAACAACTCCTGGGCTGTGCTCTTGAGGATCTTTTTCCTTGACCATATGGCAGAGGCAGCAACTCAGTATTTATGAGAATTACATCGGAGAAAGCAACATAAAAGTTGTTCTTGGCTTGGAGAGATAGTACTGGAGGTGAGGTAAGTAATGCGCCTTGCGCGATTGGTGGCCAGTGGTTTGAATCTCCGGCGTCGAATAGTCTCCTGAGCACCCAGCCCAGAGTAAGCCCTGTAATGTCCAGATGCAGCCCTAGTATCTCCGTCTCCCACCCACAAAAATACAAGTTGTCGTTTATCTCTGTGAAATGTGAAAGACCTGTGAATATATCCAGATCCAAGATCCTGCTTGGCTAGATTTTGAGCAGTTGAAATATTTTTTAAGTGAATGTGTTGTCAGCATGAACTGATTAGCCATAACTCTATTCCATGTGGAAATATATTATTTATACCGGTGCTCTAGCCAATAGACTGTTTACAACATAGCAAAGCATGAAAACAAGGAAGGGAAAGGGGGCAAAAGGAGAGAATTGTTATGTGGATGAAGATGTTTGACTTTATTCATAAATGTGGTACAAGTGACCCCCATCATCCAGACATCTGATGACTATAACCAGCCCCCAGAGAGGACCTGCTGTGGGTCACTGCATTTCTGCCGCTGCCCATTCCCCAGCCACCTGATGCTGGGGACAGAATGACTTTCATCAATGACTGTGGCCCACTGTGGCCTTCCTGTGGTCGAAAGAACCAAGATAATCCTTTCAAGCAAGTCCACTTCCCTAAGAATCCAATTTGGGAATATCCTGAGTTGTGAGACTCTCACCATTCAACTCCCACTTTTACTGACATCTTTGTCAACTAAGAAAAATAGGAAATTAAAAAAATACTTTGTATCATCTTGCTTTGGAGACCAGGCAGACTACTGAATCCTGGAGAATTCTAATTTGTTTATTTTGTTTCGGTGCCCACTCAGAGGTGCTCAGGGTTTGCTCCTGATTCTGTGCTCAGGGGTCACTCCTGGTGGTGATCAGGGGTTGATAGTATACCCTGCCTGCTTAATTATCTCTCTGGCCCTGATAATTTTAATGTGTTTATAATTTTACCTCATCTTTTTGGCTTTTATTTACTTGTTTTGGCTTTTGGGGTCACACTCTTGGCTCTCTGCTAAGGGATCACTCTTAGCAGTGCTGGGGGACCATGTGGTGCCAGGGACCAAATCCAGATCTTTTGCATCCAAGCATGCCCTCAGCCTTTTGAACTCTCTCTCTCTCTCTCTCTCTCTCTGGATCTCCTTTTTGTCCTTTTACATTTAAATGACTGACCTTGGGGCTGGAGCAATAGTACAGAAGGTAGGGTGCTTGCCTTGCATATGGCCGACCTGGCTTCGATCCCTGGAATCCCATAGGACCCCTAAGCACTGCCAAGAGTGCAGAGTGCAGAGCCAGTAGTAACTCCTAAGCATCACCAGGGTAGCCTGCCCCTAAAATAAAATAAAATAGAATGATTGAACTGGGGCCAGAGAGATAGTACAGGGGGTAAGGCCTTTGTCTTGCAAGGCCAACTGGGATTTGATTTCTCGTACCCCATATGGTCACTGAGCCCTTCCAAGAGTGGTCTCTGAGCACAGAGCCAGAAGTAAGCCCTGAGCACTTCCAGGTGTGGTCCAAACACACACACACACACACACACACACACACACACACACACTTATATAAACAAAAGACTTTACTGCGAGTATGATCGTGGGCCAGAGCAAAGCTATGGACTCAATGTACCAGGGACCACCCAGGCCTACCCCACCACTTTTTTAGACCTGGAGAATGGGTACTTCAATAACATCTTCCTCGAAAAAGATTACTTTGAAGATTAAAACAGAACGTAGTAATAAAATATAACTAGGCTGACCTAATCCCCTTCCCCATTGAGTTATTTTACAGTCGGATTCACACCTCCTGCCAGAATGAAAGTGGTGTAGGAGCCGCACAGCAGCCGAGAAGCACCAAGTCCAGTTTACTCTCTTGAGCAAACAGTCACTGCTGATACCTCAACCCCAAAACAATAAGGAAGAGAAAAAGAGCCACCATTTTTTAATATTCTTCATTTGGCTATCTGCACTCACCCAACAAGTTTGGGACCCTCTAACCCTATGCAGTAAAAACCCCATTCAGGGTAGACCAACCCCTTTTCTGTGCTAACTCTTCACATGCATTTCCAGTGAGCCACGGCTGGGCGGCTGGGCTTCCTCTTCATGCCAAGGCTGGCTCTGCTAGCACAGTGCCGCTCCCATCCCCATTTCTGCACGCGGACCTGGCCCTGGATATCACTGGGAAGCAGAGGGCTATAGGTTGCACTGAGTGGCAGAGAGCTGGGAGTTCTAGATTATTAAATGTGTGCTGGGACATGGCGTTCCTTTCAGAGTTTTATGATGATCATGGTCTCCGGTGGAACTAAAAACATCCTGGATGGTGTTTGTCTTCATGAATCATTTTTTTCATCCTATGGAGCCCAGACTAAGTGCTGACCGACAGCCCAAGGAATGGTTCCTATCGCACAATGGGTCAAATCAAATATGAAGGGGCAGAAAGCTGCATTGAAAACTGCCTTGTCTGGAGACTCCTGTGCTAATTATCCCCAAAGGGACTTCCCAGTCTCTACTGGAAGACCCACGGAGGTTAGCAATCTGGCAGACATGGATTGGAATAAAATATGTTCCCACTTAGGTTGCTTCTCCAAGCAATGCTAATTAGTTAATAATTAAACTCATGTGACAGACCCAGATTCTGGATCTGTACGGTAGGGGTGGTAATACTTGTCTCATAAGGCTAGCGTGAGCATAAAATTGAATTACATAAAAGTAACTAGCACAAGCAGCGAGGGAATACCACAGGTGAGGCACTGCCTTGCAGATGGCCAGCCCCGGTATGATCCCCAGCACCCACCACATACGTTCCCCTGAGCTCTGTCAGGAGTCCCTGAGCACAGGGCCAGGAGTAAACTCTGAGCAGCACTGGGTGTACCCCCCAACAAAAGATTTTTAAAAAAGTGTCTAAGAACTGTTGGGAGGGACCTGAGCAATAGTATAGCGGGTTGAGTGCTTGCTTGCATGTGGAAGACCTGGGTTTGATCCCTTACCACCACATATGGTGCCAGGAGTGATCCCAGAGCACAGAGCCAGGAGTAAGCCCTGAGCACTTTCAGGAGTGCCTTAAAAAGTACGGGGGATAAAAGAATTTTTGATAGGCAGGGCCCAAGAGGTATTAGAGCAGGTAAGGTATTTGTCTTGCATGTGTCTGACCTGGGTTTGATTTCTGTTACCGTATAAATATGGTCCCCTGGGCACCTCATTAGGACTGTTCCCTGACACACACACACCCCCACCCCCCAAAAAAACTACTAATAGGCATGGGTGGATCGATAGTATAGCGGTAGGGTGTTTGCCTTGCGCGCAGCCAGCTTGGCTGAGCCGGGTTCGATTCCTCCACCCCTCTCAGCAAGCTACCAAGGGTATCTCGCCTGCACGGCAAAGCCTGGCAAGCTCCCCGTGACGTATTCAATATGCCAAACAACAAGTAACAAGTCTCACGATGGAGACGTTACTGGGCCCGCTCGAGCAAATCGATGATCAACGGGAGGACAGTGCTACAATGCAGTGCTACTAGTAGGCAGAAAAGGGAAATGGGCCAATAATGACACATGAGTAATGTCATAAAGTTAACATGTGCTGAGCTACACAGGAGTGGCTACACAGGAGTGGCTGCACAGAAGTTGATAGGAGAAGAGGTGCATTTATTTAGTGGTTGATATTTGACCTGCTTCTGGAATAATCAGTAGTGTTTCACTGGGCAGCGCTGGAGGAGGGTTGCTTTCTAGACGGGGGAGAAGCCTGGGATCATAGGGGGGAAACATGGAAGATCCTGGGAGTACAAGCACAGAGCAGTAGACTGAAATGCAGAGTTGGGGCTGGGGTATAGCAAAGGCTGGAATGGGAAGCAGATATGGGGCGCAGTGGATCTCAAACCTGGGAAATTAGAATGAAGCCGGGGATCCCTGGGGTCTCCTGCAGAGAGTAGCCTGCTCAGATGGGGTAAGCGTCACTAGAAAGAGAGCACAGTGGGGTGGAGGGAGGCCAAAAGTGAGAGCAGAGAGC